ACCCCTGAAATCCCCGCGCACCCTCGAAGTCATCGATGGCCGTCCCATCGAGTCAGGCGACATCACACATGTTGCCACCACCACCCTGTCCATACAGGAACACCACGAAGAAATCCCTATGTTTGTCACCAAACTAGGCCACTACCCGGTTGTACTCGGAATCCCCTGGATGGACCTCCACGATGTGGCCATCCGGTTCAGCTCCCGAACCCTCACCTTTGGCTCCCAATACTGTACAGCCAACTGCAATGCAGTGCCCACCGTTGCACATGGAATCACCACCGACCCACCTGACGTATCTACCTATGCTCTCGCGTCAAAAGCAGCTCAGGAAGAGCCAGCGGTAAGCGCGGGGGCCGGCGACATCGTGGCCCGCTGCATTACGTCTCCCCCAAGGAAGAATCACCAGGAATGCACTAATTTTTCAAGGGAAAGCACAGTCAGAATCTCAGCCTTACAGATGGAGTCATTCCAAGAACTGGTCAACAAGGAAAGCCTCACGATTTTCAACACCACGCTTGCCGAGGTCAACGGCGCACTGGAAGGAAACAAGGACCCCACGGCACATATCACTCACGAATACCACGAGTTCCTACCGCTATTCTCTGAAGCCCTTGCCCAGAACTTGCCCCCACACCGACACTACGACCATAAGATTCCACTCAAGGAGGGATTTACGCCCCCATACGGACCCCTGTACTCACTTTTGAAAAACGGAGCTTGTCGCACTGAAGGAATGGCTTGACGACAACCTCTGCAAAGGTTTCATCCGTGCCTCTTCCTCTCCAGCAGCATCGCCAATCCTGTTTGTCAAGAAATCGGACGGCTCCCTACGCCTGTGTGTGGATTACAGGGGCCTGAACGAAGGAACAATCAAGAACAGGTACCCACTCCCACTCCTCCAAGAAACTCTGATGCGGCTATCCGGGGCAAAATACTTCACCACCCTGGATATCCGCGGTGCCTACAACCTTGTGCGGATGGCGGAAGGAGAAGAGTGGAAAACTGCCTTCCGGACACGCTATGGGCTCTTCGAATCCCTCGTCATGCCCTTCGGCCTCACCAACGCCCCTGCCGACTTCCAAGCTCTGATCAACGATGTGCTACGCCCGTTCCTCGACGACTTCTGTACCGCATTCATCGATGACGTCTTCATTTACAGCGGATCCTTAGATGAACACCGGAAACATGTCAGGAAAGTACTTCAGGCCTTATCAGCAGCCAGTCTACATCTCAAACCCGAAAAATGTCATTTCCACCAGACAGAAGTCAAGTATTTGGGACTGATCATTACAACAAACGGGATCAAGATGGACCCAGCGAAAGTCTCCTGCATACTGGAATGGGAGGAGCCGAGTACCGTCACCGATGTGCAATGCTTTCTGGGATTTGCGAACTTCTACCGGCGATTCATCCAAGACTATTCCAAGGTGGTATCCCCATTGACAGCATTGACCAAGAAGGAGGATGGAAAGTATGTTCCCTTCGTGTGGGGACCAGAACAGCAGAAAGCATTCGACGAACTAAAAACAGCTTTCACCTCGGCCCCGATCCTCCGGCACTTCGACTACGATCGGTAGATAGTAGTGGAAACTGACGCCTCCGACTACGTCTCTGCCGGAGTCCTATCTCAGTACGACGACAAGGGAATTCTGCACCCAGTGGCATTCTATTCCAAGAAACACTCCCCGGCAGAATCCAACTACGAGATCTATGACAAAGAACTCCTTGCAATCATCCGCGCCTTTGAGGAGTGGAGACCACATCTGGAGGGTGCTCCTCACCCCATCCAAGTCCTAAGCGACCACAAGAATCTGGAGTATTTCATGACAACGAAACTACTCAACCGACGACAAGCGCGATGGTCAGAGTTCCTTTGCCGTTCCATTTCAAGATTGTCTACCGACCAGGCAAAGCGGGAGGAAAACCGGATGCACTGACCAGGAGGTCAGGAGACCTCCCTAAAGAAGGGGATGAAAGACTGCTCGCCAACCAGCAGGCAGTCCTGAAACCGGACAACCTACCGGAAGAGCTCCAGTTGGCAGCAACCAACACCCCCGAACAAGACCGTCCCCTCCTCACGTCACTGATAACAGAAGGCTACGACATAGACCCCGTCCCAAATCGAATCCTCGAGCTACTCCGAAATGGTACACGCCACTCGAAGGAGATCTCCTTGGCCGAATGCCGCGAATTCAACGGGCGACTGATCTACCGAGACTGCCTCTATGTTCCAGAGTACGACCGACTCCGACTACGACTGATCCAGGACCACCACGACCCACCGACCATGGGGCACCCAGGGCGCGCAAAAACCCTGGAACTACTTGCTCGAAGGTACTACTGGCCACAGATGCGAAAGGACGTTGACCAGTTCGTCCGAAACTGCCACACCTGCCGGCGAACCAAGGCCACCCGGCACGCACCCTATGGTGTCCTGCGCCCCCTCCCAGTACCCGGGAAGCCATGGCAACACATCTCAGTCGACTTTGTCACTGGCTTACCGGCCTCAAAGGGGTTTGACGCCATCTGTGTTTTTGTTGACCGACTGACCAAGCAACGCCATCTCCTACCATGTACCACGACCATCACCTCGGAAGGACTGGCCGAGCTGTTCTGCGACCGGATATTCAGGTACCACGGGTTGCCAGAAACCATCGTCTCGGATAGGGGTCCCCAGTTTGCCTCGAGATTCTGGAAACACCTATGCTCATGCCTCAAGATCGAGCCACGCCTGTCAACTGCCTTCCATCCCCAGACCGACGGCCAAACCGAACGGATGAACGCCGTCATGGAACAGCACCTCCGCGCGTACGTCAGCTACCTCCAGGATGACTGGGTCGACTACCTCTTCTTGGCCGAATTCGCTGGCAACAACCAGGTCTCCGACACGACTACCCTGTCCCCATTCTTCGCTAACCTAGGATACCACCCACGGTGTGACTTTGAGCTGGATATCCGTGTCGACACCAAGGAGGAACATCAAGCTCAGAGTGCAGCGGAACGGTTGCATCAAATCCACGACGCCGCCCGCAGCCAAATGCTGTATGCCCAGGCACGGCAACAGGACGACTCCGACCGACACCGAACCCCTGCGCCAGCGTTCCAACCAGGCGACATGGTATGGGTGGATGGTCGGAACTGGCGCACCAAGAGACCCAGTCGCAAGCTGGAAAACAAACACCATGGTCCCTACCGTGTGATTCGGACAATCGGAACCCACGCCTACGAATTGGACATCCCGGACACCGTTCAGAAGCACCGAACATTTCCTGTATCCCTCCTTCATGCCTCCGCTGACGATCCCTTCCCTGGACAAATTCCACCGCCACCACTTCCGGTAATTGTGGACGACCAAGAAGAATGGGAGGTTGAAGAGGTCCTCGACAGCCGGAACCTCAGGGGCAAACTCCAGTACCTGGTAAAATGGAGAGGCTACGCGGCACCAACATGGGAACCAGAGGAGAACCTTACCGAGGTACAAGCTGTGGACGACTTCCATCGACGATACCCCATGCAGCCTGGACCAGTCGAACTTGCTCTCGTGGGAGCTCGAGCCTTAGGAGGGACTACTGTCACGGCTCGCGACGGAATGACGAAGGGAGGGTCGGCACAAGGACCGGGAGAGTTGGGAGGCAGTGCACAGGCAGTGCACCGGCAGTGCAAGGATGAGTCGCAGAGGATTGGGGGCTGTGTGCAGGGAGCAGGGATAGCACAGTAATGAGCCGCAGGGGATTGGGGCTGTGTGCAGGAAGCAGGGGTGGTGCGGCTGCGCAGGGTATGAGTCACGGAAGCGGGGTACTGGCAAGGTGGATTTCTCAGGATCTGGCACACGCCCACGGTCATTGTCAGGTTGCGGGAAGAAGTGGAGGATATCCTATATAAACCGGCCGTTGCCCCTCTGTACTTAGTTCTTCACGCAACAACTTGTTAATTCAATCACTGTTACCTCTGTCCTTGTCTCGGCTGCCGTCTGCGCCGTAGTCCTTGTCCCTGCCTCTGTTCTCAGTTGCCGTCTGCACTGAGCCCTGCCTTACCGTGTCCTCTGAACCCGTCTTGCCTCTGCCAAACCCAGCACCCGATACCCTGCCCGGCTTCGCTGCCTGGAACCTTGCCCGACCGTGTCGTTACACTGGAGCCCAGCCCGACGGTTCCCTTATCAACACACACCCGCACAAGTGAGGACAGCAGGTATAGGTCAGTCTTTGGACATGATATAGCTTGTTCGCTGATGTGAACCCATTGTGCAAGCATCGTTTTTCACACAGCGTGTGTAGTTGAACCCAAGACTAGCCTATCTTGGGAATTCATACTCCTGACAATTGTGTAGTTTCTTTGAAGGTAGACTGCAGGGTCTTAGTATACCTGGGATACGCTAGTGGCTTGAAACGGCACCTGGTGTGTACTAGGACAAGTATTCGGTGTTTGTCCTTTCAAGACCAGCATGTGCACAGTTATTTATGACATTCACATGCAGGAAAAATCCAAGATTAAATCTGCAATGCAGCGAAAGAAGTAGAAAAAAAATGGATTTTACGTACCGAAGCTGTTTGAGCGCAGTCGGATCATTGCAAGTTGTGCTGTTACGTGCAGCGAAGCTGTTTAGATTGTGTTGATGAGGGAGGGGTGAACTTGTTTTGGTTTCCAACATTAGGGCTGCTCCTTCGACATCGGTTTGCTCCTCACATCCCTCAGAAGGGTCTTCTTGGCATTTTGCACGAGCTGTGGTGCGTGTCACTTCTTCGAGCCCTAACTTGTCGCGTCTTCTCCGAAACCGTGGGATTGGAACCCACCTTCTCTCCGTCCCTTTTTCTCACCACACCAATACCCGCCCTCGATCTTCCTTCTTCTGCCCTCAATCATCCACATTGTGACTTGCCAAGATCATTCACCCGCGATCTTCTTTCTTACTTTATCAAGATCTTCTACCCTCGATCTTTTTTTTCCAACCATCCTGATCTCTTCGTTCTTGGTCCCTTTAGCAGAATCAGATAGTGACCATGACCCCACTCCGCTCGAACGGGCACCAGACACTGTCCGAGGCGTTGGACATCTCCACAGCCTTGGTGGGAACAGGAACTCGCGCACAGCCGACACCGGGGCGTCGGGAAGACAACAAGGCTGACGACGAAACGGAACGACGATTGAACCTAAAGAACGGTAAGCTCTTGCGACCGAATCCCATCAAGTACGCGGGGCTGCGGACGGGAATATGTTACGACTCGAGGATGCGGTTCCATGCGACCATCAATGAGAAGGATGCTCACCCGGAGGATCCGAGACGAATCATTGAGATTTACAAGATGATTTGTGACGCGGGCTTCGTCGACGATCCAACGTATTCCGGCTTTGTCAAAAAAGGCGACCTCATGTCTCGTATTCGGGCGCGTGAGGTCACGAAGGAGGAAGCGATGTTGGTGCATACTCTAGAGCATTGGGAGTTTCTCGCGGGGACGGCTGGTATGTTGCGGCTCCGCCCGGTCAGGATGTTTTGTTGTTCAGGGCTGGTGTTGACTCACTTAGTAGAACAAACTCCGGATGAACTCAAGACATTGTCGAGGAGGGAAGACTCCGTTTATTTTAATCGAGAGTCTTTCCTCTGCTCGCGACTCTCGTGCGGTGGCGCAATCGAGAGTTGCATGGCGGTCGTCTCTGGCAAGGCCAAGAACGCCATCGCGATTGTGCGCCCTCCGGGGCACCACGCGGAGCCGAGCAGAGCGATGGGGTTCTGTCTCCTGAACAATGTCAGTGTGGCGGTCAAAGTGGTACAGAACCAGTACCCAGAAATGTGCAAGAAGGTGTTGATTTTAGATTGGTAAGTGTGTTGGCGCTGCGGACGAGTGAGAGGTTGTGGGCTCGATTGACTTGGATACTGACACGACGGACGGATTCTAGGGATGTGCACCATGGTGAGCGGCGATCTCCGAAGAAAACGGCGCTAGCGAGAATGGCGCTAACCTCACGTGACAATATAGGAAATGGCACGCAGACAGCCTTCTACAAAGATCCCAGTGTCTTGTACATGTCTATCCACCGCTACGAGAATGGAAACTTCTATCCGAGCGGGCCAGAAGGAGGCATGGATCAGTGCGGTGAGGGGGATGGCTTGGGAAGGTAAGAATATCCCCGACCTGAAGTGGCGTACTGTTATTGTTGCTGCTGGACACTTCTAACCTGTTAGGAATGTCAACGTCCCTTGGGACAATGCGGGGCTGGGAGACGGGGATTATATGTACGCATTTCAGCGTGTAATAATGCCGATCGCAGTTGAATTCGATCCAGACCTCGTCGTCATATCGGCGGGGTTCGATGCGGCGGCAGGCGACGATCTGGGGGGCTGCTACGTCACGCCAGCGGGCTATGCGCATATGACGCATATGCTCATGAGCTTGGCGGGCGGCAAGGTCGTCGTTTGTCTCGAGGTGTGCTTGCTGCATTGTTACCCACAACACATCAATAGATCGAAGCTGACTGGTAGAATAGGGAGGTTATAACCTCGTCTCGATCTCCAATTCTGCGCTTGCGGTCACGCAAGTGCTCAATGGGGAGCCGCCTGGGCAGCTGCACGATGGAGCCGTCGCCTGTCAGCCGGCAGTCGACGTCGTCCATCGGTGTGTACACCACCAGATGCACTACTGGCGGTGTATGCGCTCGGCGGACCCGTGTCCCAGCAGTTAGTTGACGAGCTCCCGGGCCAGATGATCCACACCGTACTGATAGCGGGCAGATTGTCGTCTCGAATTCGACGACGAAAAGGCGGTGAGGCTGAATGGTCTCTAGTAATGTTCCCACAAGACAATAGCTGCTAACTTGCGAAGATATCGTTCGACACTACCAAGCCAAAAAGTTGTGGGACAGTCACGACATGTCAGTCGTGACACTGTTTCGAGACTTCGAGAACTCGGAGTCATTCGAATACCAGGTGTTGGCCACGTGGGTTTCCCAATACTGTTAACCTTGTACAGGCCTGACAGTGCATTCAGACCAGGAATTGAGAAGAGTCAGACGGTGATTTTTTATATCCATGACCCGTATGTCAAAAACCGATCGGTATATACATCCCCACACCTAAGGCAATCTGCTAAGAAATATGGGGGTTTCAAGGCCACCCGTGTTGGCACAGCCCGAACCGCATACCAACCACATTGCACTCCATGATTCGATTCTGGTATTTGCAATCCTCGTGGTTGTTGCTCGGCGGGGGCTCCCTCAAACTACCAAAAAATAGATGACTAATCTGTTTCACTCGGTGCGGTCTTAGGTGGATGTAGGAGCGTCGTACATCGACTGGGCAATCAGCAACGGTTTCGGCGTCGTTGATGCCAATGTCCCCAAGCAGATAACCGGGCCTCGGGTAGGTAGCCCATCACCTTCAGTTATAAGGTTTCACTGACAGTTTTGTGAAGAAGGTGACCTATGATCGTCTCAAGATGACCGACGAGCTTTGCAAGTATCTATGGGATAACTTTCTACAGCACGTTGTCAACAACTAGTGTAGGATGTTCTGGGAGTTTGCTAATATCTTGCGCAGGCCAACCGACGCAAAAGATCAAAGGATCATTCTACTCGGCGTGGGCGACGCTGCTCAGGGCATAGTGCGACTCTTAACATCGAGAAGTATATATCCATCCGTCCAGGCATTGTTCTCAGACCTCTTCGCTAACACACACAATAGATTGTCATGAGCGCGTCAAAGGAGTTATCAGCGTTATCGGCAGCGATAATGTCTTCCGTGCGATTGTACCAAGCATTCCGGATGATCGGATGCTTAATTGGTATTACCAGGTAGATACACTTCATCCCCGAGCTGCCTGGGCACACCCACTAATATATTCATAGAACTCTCTTGTCATGGTCAGCAAAAACCACGCCTTTTGGACCCGTAGCAGCCGCGGTCTCAAGAAGAAGTACGGTGCAACGGGAAAGAGCAACGGCAACGACGCCCACGAAGTCCACAAATTTGAATTTGAAAGAATCACCAGCTGGATCATGGACAGACTTGAAGATTGATCACACGATATCTGCTTGGGAACTGCTACGGTGATTGTCCTCACACGACTAGAGAGAGTTGGAGCTTTGCTTGTCTTCGCCCGTTCGGTTGGCTCGTTTCTTGGAGCCCGGGCTTTTTTGTTTATTTTTTTAATTGGCATTCGATGGGCCGCATACCGTCGTTCGTCATTTTTTTCCGGTTGGCTCGTTTGAAGATTGATCATCACGATATTTTCTCGAAACTGCTGCGGTGGTTGTCCTCACACGATTGGTGAAAGTTGGTACTTTGTTTGTCTTCGCCCGTTCGGTTGGCTCGATTCTTGCAGCGCGGGCCTTTTTTTTGTGGCATTCGATAGGCCGCATACTGTCGTTCGTCCTTTTTTCCTTTTTTCACTTTTTTCTTTTTTTCTTTTTTTTTTCTATGTTTCTTTTTTTTCTTGTCACTTTTTTTACAATCTACTTCCTAATCTACACAGGTGAAGTACCTATTGGTAGCACGGTGGCTATGCGTCTGTCTTGAAGGAACTGTTCATGTAATATATTCCAGCATTCTTCTGTTCATTGTCTAAATTTTAGCTACGGCACTTGACGACCTGACCTTTGGCGGAGCATTCGTTGACGGTGGTGGCTCGCAGCAGCGGGGAGTCTTCAGTAACCGCAGCAGCGAGCCGCGTTGATGGTGTGGACAGGAATGTTAAGCAAAACTGGAACTCTGTGGCATGGAAGTCGGAACAGGCGATCCTACATATGGGCGGGAGAGCAGAGAAGCAAAATGTCGAGGTCCAGATAGGTATCCGAGCATTTCGCGGACGGAAGGTGTAGCCCAGATATATACTGGACTTCATGGATATCTGCGGAAAGGTCACTTCACCAGGCCAGGCACCGCTATATACATTATGTAGGTAGCGACACCAAGTGGTTTCGGAGGAGACGGAGGAGACGGAGAAGTTGTCAGGTCGGGAACGGCCGAGTCCATATGTATGATGAAAAAGAAAATATGGCTTCACAAGTGAAGACACTAATTTAGAGCTAATCGAGTTCGAAGCAAGCTTCCGGATCTCGGCAAGCACCCTAGTTAGCCCGAGCCATCGGCGAGCGATGACTTGCACGGTATGCAGCACGACGCTCCATCACCGCGCCGAGCACCCGTCACCGCCGCGCCGACCACCATGAGCGGCGCCAAGCCTCTCCTCACGACAGAGGACCGCTTCCGGCAGAAGCAACAACTCTCCGCCCGCCCGCCTAATGCTGCCACAAAACGCAAAACGCCTCCTCCCTCCTCCTCCGTCGGACCAAAGCGCCCCCGTACGCACACCAAAGATGCTGATGCCGATGTCGCACTCCCCAGCGTCGCCCCGGACTGGCGCGGGGACGAGATGACATCCACGCAGCCGTGGGGCTCCACGCAGGCTCCTTTCGCGAATCGCCCTACGTCCCGTCCGCCGCCGCCACCGTCGGCGGTCCCCCGGCGCTCGGCGGATCCACTCTCGCTGGCGCACCGCAAGTGGGGCCTGCATCCAGAGATTGTGAAGGGATTTCGAGAGTGTGGAGTGGATGAGATGTATCCGTGGCAGAGCGAGTGCTTGTCGCTACCCGGGGTGCTGGAGGGCACCAAGAATGTGGTCTATACTGCGCCTACGTCTGCGGGGAAATCGTTGGTGGCGGATATACTCATGGTCCGGAAGGTGGTTGGCGGGCTGGCTGGACTTGGACTTGGAGAGCGGAAGAAGGCCATCGTCGTGGTGCCATATGTCTCCATCGTCCAGGAGAAGACCCGGTTCCTGAACAAATGCCTTGGCTCGGTGCGTGTGGAGATGCCGCGAATGCAGGAGACCCAGCCGCAGGCCTGGAGGAACCTCAATATCGTTGGGTTTCATTCCGGCGCGAGAAATAGGATGCGGTGGAAGGATATTGATATCGTCGTCTGCACCATCGAGAGAGCTAACACATTGGTTAACGCGGCGGTGGAGGATAGGACGATCAATGAGCTGGGCGTGGCGGTATTCGATGAACTACATATGGTGGGAGACGAGCATCGGGGGTTAATTTTGGAACTACTAGCGGCGAAGCTGCTGTGTCTTGAGCTGCCGGTCCAGATTGTGGGAATGTCGGCTACGTTGAGCAATATTACCGTTCTGGGGAAATGGCTTAAAGCTGCCTTGTATGAATGCAATTTCCGGCCGGTTCCTCTGGACGAATACTTGGTCTATGACGGCGCGGTGTATAGCAACTCCCATGAACTGCACGCAAACATACCGCCTAGTGACCATAAATCCCGTAAGGAGACGGTCACCAATTCGATCGTTGCCCTCACACACTCGGCAATATCCGAAGGCCACGGAGTGTTGGTGTTCTGTGAGTCCCGGCGACGATGCGAGGATCTTGCCTTGTTGGTCCTAGGCTTCATTCCTCGGATTCGTGATGAGGAGCTGATTGAGAAACGGATAAACGTTGTGGGAGACCTTGCGACCACGCCCACGGGGATGGATCCCGTACTTGCCAAATCGGTCCCTGCGGGAGTGGCATTTCACCATGCCGGATTGACTACGGAAGAGCGGGATATCGTCACGGCCGCCTACAACGACGGCGCCGTCAAGGCTATATTCTGCACGGCAACAATGGCCGCCGGCGTCAACCTCCCCGCACGCCGAGTAATCATCTCACCGCGGATGGGCCGAGACTTTGTCAGCGCAGCGATGCTCCGACAGATGCGTGGACGAGCTGGCCGAAAAGGCCGCGACACGCGCGGAGAATCGTACGTCTGCTGCCGCAGGGAGGATCTTCCAACCATCGAGAAGCTGCTCAACGAAAGTCTTCCATCGGTGTCATCGTGCCTCATATCGTCCGAAAACACATCCTCCGGCCTCTCCCGTGCCTTGCTGGAAATTATCTCCACCCGGCTGGCAACCTCCCTCGACTCGATCGAGGAATACTTCAACTCTACACTCCTCCAGCACACGCACCACACGCTCTCGGACCTGCCCACACTGCTCAAAGACTGCCTCGAAACCCTCCACGCCTCCACACTGCTCCAAGACCCCACCGCCGACGGCGAGTGGTCCGCCACCCGCACCGGCCACGCCACGGTCGTCGCGGGCTTCACGCCGTCCGACGGCCTGTTCATGTCAACGGAGCTCACCCGGGCGCTCGCGCACTTCAACCTCGAAACGGACATGCACATCGTGTACCACTTCACGCCGATCCACGCGTCGACATCCTCCGTTTCCATCGACTGGAAGCTCCTCCGGGACGAGCTCGAGCGGCTCGACGAGCCATCTCTGCGCGCTGCCACCTTCTGCGGCGTGAACCCGGCGTTCATCCACAAGCTCGCCAGCGGCGGACTATTCCGCGACGCCGGCGGCGCCAAGGAGCGCGTCTACCGCCGCTTCTACACCTCGCTCATGCTGCGCCAGCTGATCAACGAGACGCCGATCCACCACGTCGCCCGCCACTTCGCCGTGCCCCGCGGCTTCGTCCAGTCCCTTGCCACTACGTGCCGCGGCTTCGCTACAACCAGCGCTGCCTACTGTAAGGCTATGGGATGGACCGGCCTAGCCGTACTGCTCGAGCACTACAGCTGGAGGCTCGATCTGGGCGTCAAAGATGATCTGGTCGACCTGGCCCGGCTGCCCTTCGTTAAGAGTCGCACGGCCAGAGTGTTTTACGAGGCGGGCCTGAGGACTATGGAGAACGTGGCGGATGCGAAGGTGGAGGTCTTGGTGAATGTGCTGGCTAAGGCTATGCCCGGCGCGAATAGGGGGAGGGTCAGGGAGAAGTGTGAGGAGCGCGCGAAGATTGTGGCTGCGGCCGCGAGGAGGATTTTGGATAGGCGGAGGCAGGAGGAGCTGGATGAGTTGGAGTAGGGAGGTGGGGGGTGATGATTATTGGGATGAATGGCGAGATGGATAGATGGATAGATGGGGGCCTACATACGAGGCATAGATGGTTTGGTTTAACAGTGGCGTCTGTGGATTGTTTATTACGGGTTGATATCGTATAATTATGGCGTTCATATGGATTCTCATATGGACGAATTCAATGACACGATGTTGCGCAAAAATATGACCAAGTACCGTATTTACCTGCGTACCCACCGTCCAAGCAGCACGGAACGATCGACACCGTGTTCGTCATCCCGCTGTCCAGTGTCGACGCCATCAACCGTTCGTGCAACTTCGCCAACTTCGCCATCACTCACGCAAGACAGAAGCCACAAGATCATCCGGCGCCCTCGGGAGTAAGACGCCAGATCCAGCGTTTCAAATCTGTGGGTGAGATCTGTGGTGAGATCTGTGGGGGGAGGGAGCAGATGATGGGAATTCCAGAAAGAGTGGTCTCGTGTGCGCGGGGGACGCTGGGGGCTGCGCGGGATGGTTGCGCGGGATGGTCGCGTGACGGTCTATGGTGCGGCCGTGCGGTTGTGTGGGAGCCTTATTGGTAGCACGGCGACGAGGAATGATGTGTGATACCTACGGACATTCTGGGGCGGTGGAAGCTTCTTGCTCGGGTCCCTCAACGACGTGCCGCTCGATCACGTTGGCATTCCTCCAATTCTACGTGATACCATACCGATGCTGGAGGCTGGAGGCTGGAGCTCTCGAAGCCGCGATGACGAACCGGCTGGAGCTTAGCGCAATACTCTGGCGGTGATGGGCGGTGATGGGCGGCGGTGATGAGCGGTGGTGGCTGGCCAGTGGCCGTATGTAGATAGCTGGCGGGTGTTGATCAGCCACCAGTGAGCCCTGACCCTGGAGGCTGGCGCTGATTCCGAAGCCTGGCGTGCGACCGCCGACCAGGGTAGCTTCGTGGTGGCTTTTTTTTTGGCTTCGTCGAGCGAGTGAACCAGCAGTTGAGTTGGACTTTGATCCGCCCAGAGCTCTCTCACCTGTACTCACGGCACTGGCACCGGTACCTATCGCGGCATTCTCCATCGAGAAGCTCCGAAACAAAAACAAAAACTTCGACAGTCGGGACTGCTGGCCAATCACTTGTTCCAACGCCTATCTCTGCTATGTAGAGTATGTACCATAACTATCCTGACAATCTGGGTAGGTATGTGCTCTGGGTATGTGCTCTACTCTATGCTCGGCTGTATCCTGCATAATCCTGCTCCGACTCTCCGATTCTTGGACTTGTTCTGCTTGTCCCTCAAGCTGGATAGTATGTGTATATGTAGAGGTATTCAATTGGAGTCGGCGGGAGTAGGTAGTATGTACTATGTATATGGTGCACTCGATGATCCGTTCGGATAACACTCTTGCCGCTGGAAAGAAGTAGCGGTATGTAGGACCTGGAAGAAGAGTTCGAGGAGTTATACCGGTACCAGTAGTTATGCCCCTGTGACGGGCTTGTTCGCGAGGCTTGAACTGAGGCGGTGTTAGATACGGTTGAGATGAGCGGGAGAGATGAGTGGCCGCCGCCGCTGTCGTGACGGCTAACGGGGCCGTGGGGAAAGGAAGCCTGACATGTCCATATCTACCGACGGTCCCCAGCGTTTCGGGCGTCAAAGAGAGTTCCGTACCGTGCCAGCTTCAAACGCACCGACAAAGTGTAATGGCTCTGGCCTCACGATAAACTCAACGTTCTTTGGAAGCTTCCAACACCCATTCTCCACCCTATGTATTCTCTTACCCTCCTCGGAGCTGAGCTGCGATGCGCATTCACCAGCTCCCCTGGTGACGACGTAGTGAACAAGGGTTGGGTCAGTTAGTGAGCTGCCAGCCAGCCATATCACAATCGCAGGGTAGTTTGGGCTTGCTTGATACACACACAACGCGCACCTCCTGCTCTTCACTCACTCTCTACTCGACAGACAGACAGCCATTCCTACAGACCTACAAGCCTCCATTCACTTGCCGCTGACCGCCTGCCGCCTTCCCCCTCCCACCCCCATTCAAACTACCAGTACCGGTCCCGTGGAGAACTTTCCGTTCCAAGGCACCGCCCGCGCATCGAATAATAATAACAATAAAACAAAAAAAACAGCGCTGTCCCTCTTTTACGTTCATCCGGCGCGGCACCCCATCCACAAGCTGCATCTACACACATCACGCACCCATCACGCCTGCCCTGCCACCCTGACCGACCACCACCGCCCCCCCTCCCTCCCTCCCCTTCCCCCACCCCCCCAATCGCTCGCTGGCCCTATTCCGAGGACCACCCGGCGTCCTGGACCCTTCACGCTTTGAGCACTCTGGCTGTGCTTCGGCCGCACAATACCATTCACCATTCCTCCCTCAACATCCTCCCGTCAGGTCAATATCCCCCTCCGTTCCATAACTTCAGCATCTTCCCCAGCTCCGGAAGACGAGCACTCCGAGTCACTGCTACCGAAATCCACCGTCGACACCTCTGATCACGGCAACACTCGTTCGTCGAGGTCGTCCGTTGATTCCGACAAGTCGGACTTCTCCCTCTTCAGCGCCCCGAGCATTAGTGGTGGTGGTAGTATCGTCGCCGAGCGGAGCGAGAAATCGAAGCCTCCCACGAAAGCGCGCGTCTCTCTCTTCCACGAGGATCTCGGCGAAGACGACGACGACGAAAAAAGCCCAGGCAACCGGAACGTCGGCTCGAGCTCCCGCAAAGTACGCTATAGCCAGGATTCGGCCTCGCACTCTCGCCAACGCGACGGCACCGGCAGCGGCAGCAGCAGCGACGAAGTTAAAATCCACATCCCCTCTCCACCTCGTCGCGAACCTGGTTTCGTCAAAAAGTGCTTCGGAAGAATGGTGGGCGGTAGAAATGGGTCGGCCATTCATGGCATGACCGGGAAACCGTTGTTGTATGTCACTCTCCTCGCTTCCGTCGCATGTCCGCATGCCCGCGCGCTCGCGCGACCGCACTCCCCCCCCCCCGCTAATCACTGTCGTCACGATGCAGGTACTTTACAAGCGTGTTTGTGAGTTTAGGCGTCTTCCTTTTTGGTTATGATCAAGGCGTTATGTCGGGCATTATCACGTACGTCCGAGAGCTTCCTCGCTGCTCCTGCTGCTTCCCCCATGAACGCCCAATGCTGATTCTAAAATGTAGAGGAATATATTTTAAAGACTACTTCAACCAGCCCACGCGGGCGCAGATAGGAACGATGGTTGCTATATTGGAGGTTGGAGCGTTCGTATCATCTCTCGTTGTTGGCCGAGTGGGGGACATCATTGGTAGGCGGAAGACGATCCTCTACGGGTCCATGATCTTCGTCGTCGGAGGGGCAATGCAAGCTTTTGCCAACGGAATGCCCGCCCTGATCCTAGGCCGTATCATTGCCGGAGTGGGTGTTGGTTGCCTCTCGACCATCGTGCCGGTCTATCAGTCCGAAATCTCGCCCCCGCACAACCGTGGACAGCTCGCTTGTATAGAGTTCACCGGAAACATCGTGGGCTACGCCACCAGCGTCTGGGTCGATTACTTCTGCAGCTACATCGAGAGTGACCTTTCGTGGCGCATTCCGCTGTTCATGCAGTGCGCCATGGGAGCCCTGCTCGCGCTGGGCTCGCTCATCATTTCCGAGTCACCCAGGTATGTTTGAGCCGGCGAAGTGCATCGTTCGACGGAAGCTAACGGTTGCCAGATGGCTACTCGACAATGACCACGACGAGGAGGGCATCGTGGTCCTGGCGAACCTTTACGGCGGTGGAGATGTGCACAACGAGCGCGCTAGAGACGAGTTCCGCGAGATCAAGATGAACGTCCTGCTACAGCGGGCGGAGGGAGAGAGATCCTACTCCGAGATGTGGTCCCGATACCAAAAGCGTCTTTTGATCGCCATGTCGGCTCAGGCTTTTGCACAGCTGAACGGAATCAACGTCATCTCGTACTATGTGAGTATCCCTTGTGCTCGTAATTACCCAGGACTGGGCTGATGTCTGTATCAGGCTCCCCTCGTGTTCGAACAGGCCGGCTGGGTTGGCCGCGACGCCATCCTCATGACGGGTATCAACGCGCTCATCTACGTCGCCAGTACTCTGCCGCCCTGGTACCTTGTGGACCGCTGGGGTAGACGTCCAATCTTGCTCTCCGGCTCGGTCGTGATGTGTCTCGCGCTCGCTACTATCTCATACTGGATGTACATCGATGTTCACATCACACCGACGATGGTTGTACTATTCGTCATCATCTACAATGCGTTCTTCGGCTACTCATGGGGACCGATCCCGTGGCTGTACCCTCCCGAGATCATGCCCCTCAGCATCCGCGCAAAGGGAGCCTCGCTCTCGACCGCCACCAATTGGGCGTTCAACTGGCTCGTCGGCGAGATGACACCCATTCTCCAGGAATGGATAAAGTGGCGCCTCTACCTCGTCCACGCCTTCTTCTGCGCCTGCAGTTTCGTCCTAGTGTACTTCCTGTACCCGGAGACGAAGGGCGTCATGCTCGAGGATATGGTATTCCCCCCTTCTCCCGCCTATTTCTCAGCCACCCCCCCTCTAACCGTATGTAGGACTCCGTCTTCGGTGACCAAACCGTCGCGCCCACACCGTCAACCGCCCACGCGTCCCTCCTGCACCCCAGCCGCTCCGGCAGTCCGGTACCTACACTCGACATCAGCCCTCCGGAGAACATCAAACCCAGCCGATCTCCGCCCCCGCAAAAGAACGGCAGTGGAGTCGGCGGTTTCTTCCAGGGCATGTTTGGACGCAAGTCGGAGACGGAGGGCGGCGAGTATAGACGTATCGATGAGGGGGATGATGTGTAGATTGTTTCTTTTTTTTTGTTGGCCATGTAGAGGGATTAGTTTTTGGATACGGATACCTATTGTGTGTGGATTTGACTTTTGACTTTGTGATTTCTTTTCTTTTTTGCGTGCGCGACTGTGTGGATGGAGGATGGATACTAGAGATAAATGCAGGATGGACGGGCCGAGATAGGTATATGATACTCATAGATATCAATCAGCTGCACCTTTTTTTTCGTTCGCACTTCTTGAAGTTTGGTGTCTCGTCTGCAGGGTTGGCTTTGAGGATTCATGTGCATGTGCGGGGTGCAGCAAAGCAACGGTGCGGACTCCGGAGGGGAGGGGAACACTGAATGGTCACTGGTGGTTTCTTTTTTGCTTTCTTTGGAGAGAGCAGTGCACCAACTACCTATGAGGTGAGGACTTGCGGTGATCTGGACTTTTTGGGTATACAGATCTGTGTATGGAGGGGCTAGAGGTGTGGACACAAGAGAAGCTAGAGATTATAGACTAGAGAAGCCAGATCCAGTTTAATGTAGAGTATGTACGAGCCCAGCTTCTGTCGTGAATCGTGATGGAGTAACTCCGGAATCTGAATGAACGGAGTGTAATGGTACCCGGCGCAAATGGTCAGTGAGTAGTCTCTATGCTGATTAAGGTCGCATGCTTCGGGATCGTGTGCTTCGAGTTTCGTAGGTTTGCTATAAGATGGGATATTTGACACCTCTTGGTCGGTTTGGGCCGTCTGAGAGGTGGGAGCGACTGAGGCTGGCTGTGGTGTTGATATCGCCAGCTTGCTAGCTAGGTAGCTTGACACCATGAGGGGGTATGCAGTTCCGGCCGTCTTGAATGTGCTTGCTAAAGGCCACCACGAGAGATGGTATGTAAGTAGGAATGGTTGGTCATATACTCGTATACTCGTACATTGCCGCCCACTCGCTCTCTCTCCCTCCCCCCATTACCGCTCCCCCCTCACAACCTCAGGAACACTCAAACTCCTCCATTACCGCCCCCCTCGCCTCCCCCTCCCCATCACTACACATCCCCCCCGCCCCCCACCCCGCCCTCATAAACCTCGACCACAAAAGTCCCCCCCTGATACGGATCCGGCACCGTCCATGTGCCGCCATGGGGACACATATCGACGATCCTCTCAGCCACAGTGGCCACATCCCCACAGAGCATGCTCTCATACGGCTGTCCACAGACATCAATCCTTTCCCCCACGCCGTCGTCGTCACTGCTAGCGACAGTAGTACACCCCCTCACATCGTGGTTCTGCCAGCAGCGCTTGCGCGACGCGAGCACGGAGTCGCCGAGCTGCGCGGAGCGGTGGAGTTGTGTCAGGACGGAGGTGAAGTTTGCGAGTGGCGGTGGAGGGCGGAGGCGCGAGGACGGCGGGGACGGCGGCGTGGGTGCGCAGCTGTAGGTGCCGGCGAGAGGCGCGATCGGAGGGTGGTTTCCGTCGATTTGCGCGTGGACGGGGAGGCCCAGAAGGAGGCAGAGGGTTAGGGGAACGAGAAATGAGTACATGCTGGGTGTCGCAAGTTGCCAAAGAGCGTGGCTAGCGGAGCGGAGGGGGCGGAGGAGGCGGTGGGAGCGGAGCGCAGGTTTTATGGCCTGTGGGCGGCCGTGGTGACGGAGGGGTTACATATTGCTCTGGGGTTGCGCTGGCTATACTCGCGCCGGAATGCGGTCTGTGAGTTGGGGGTGGGGGATGGGGAGAGAGAGAATGTTGTCGCATGCGGCCGCTGTCTTGTGGCCTGTGGTTTGTGGTCTACATAGAGCATGGAGAATGGACATTCCAGCCGACGAGTGCGAGTGATGAGTGAGGCGGCGGGAGGTCACTGCAACATTAGAGTAGAGTACTGCCACATTAGAGTAGAGTACTGCCACATCTCTAGAGCCACTAAGCGTTATCTTAGTGTCCATCACGTGTCACCTATTGATTAGCGCAGCACATCCATGTCACAGATCTACGCAAAAAAAGTTTCCAGCGCCGCGCTGCTCTATTTCACTCTAGCAAACCCGCAAACCCGCAAACCCGCCAGCACTCAGTTCACCACACACGTCGTACTACAAATTCCCAATGGACGCCGCAGCCGCACAGTTGTCGAAGAAACGCAAGCGAAAACACTCCAAGCCGGGCAAAGACGACACCGCGACTGCTACGGCGACGGATATGGCGAAGGATATGGTGAAGGATATGGCAAAACTACGGACGAATACGAGTGGTAGTGACGAGAAGCCGCTCAAGAAGAGGAAGGCTGAGAAGGTCAAGGAGGCGAAGAGGGTTAAGGTCGAGAAGCCTGTGGTTGTGGAGGAGGTGGTAGAGGTGGAGGAGCAGGAGAAGGAGGAGGAGGGGGTGCCGGAAAGGAACAAGATTGAGGAGGAGGAGGAGGAGGAGGAGGAGGAGGAGGAGGAGGAAGAGGAGGAGGAGGAGGAGGACAAGAATGATACAGAGGAAGAGAAAGACTCGGCCAGCGACGACGGCGACGGCGGCGCCCCCATGCACCCCGACCGCATGCTCGCCATGACGATCGAAGACGGCAGCACGATCGAAAACGGCAACATTGAGCTCGAGGAGGTAGACCGCGATGCAACACTCCCCTCTGGCGCACAGTTACACCTTCCGGTGGCCGGACCCGTTCCGCAGCGCTTCGCAGAGCTGAACCTGCACGCCAGCACGCTGCGCGCGATCGACGAGATGAAGTTCGAGGCGATGACGGAGGTGCAGGCGCGGACGATCCCTCCGTCGCTGGCCGGACGCGATCTGCTCGGTGCCGCGAAGACCGGTAGTGGAAAGACGCTGGCGTTCTTGATCCCCGCGGTCGAGATGCTGAGTGCGCTGCGGTTCAAGCCCAGGAATGGAACGGGAGTCCTTATCATCACCCCTACCCGCGAGTTGGCGCTGCAGATCTTCGACGTCGCCCAGAAACTCATGAGCTACCACTCGCAAACGGTCTCCATCGTCATCGGCGGTGCCAACCGGCGCACAGAGGCGGACAAGCTCACGAAGGGTGTCAACCTGCTCATCGGCACTCCCGGACGGCTCCTCGATCATCTGCAGAATACCCCCGGATTCGTCTTCAAGAATCTGCGCTGCATGGTGCTCGACGAGGCGGATCGGATATTGGAGTTTGGTTTCGAGGACGAGATGAGGCAGATCATCAAGCTCATTCCCTCCGAGAACCGGCAGACGCTCCTGTTCTCGGCGACGCAGACGACAAAGGTCGAGGATCTAGCGAGGATTTCGTTGCGGCCGGGGCCGTTGTACATCAACGTTGACCACGCCAAAGCGAATTCTACCGTCGAGGGTCTGGAGCAGGGCTATGTCATCTGCGAGGCGGACAAACGGTTCTTGCTGCTGTTCTCGTTCCTGAAGCGGTTCCAGAAGAAGAAAATCATTGTCTTCTTTTCCAGTTGCGCCAGTGTCAAGTACTACTCGGAGCTGCTCAACTACATCGATCTGCCGGTGCTGGATCTGCACGGAAAGCAGAAGCAACAGAAGCGGACGAACACTTTCTTCGAGTTCAAGAACGCAACTGCGGGCACTCTGATCTGTACTGATGTTGCCGCGCGTGGCCTCGATGTAAGTGTCTATGGGCTACTGATTACCGAAACAAGCTGACATGTTCGCAGATCCAAGGTGTCGATTGGATCGTGCAGTTTGACCCTCCGGATGACCCACGAGACTACATCCACCGTGTCGGACGGACGGCTCGAGGAGCCAATGCCAAAGGTCGCTCGCTGATGTTCCTTCTCCCGAACGAAGTCGGCTTCCTCAAGTACCTCAAGGAGGCAAAGGTGCCTGTGGTCGAGTTTGAGTTCCCGGCGAAGAAGATTGTCAACGTCCAGAGTCAACTCGAGAAGCTCATCAGCCAGAACTACTACCTGGCTCAGAGCGCAAAGGATGGTTACAAGTGAGGCTGCCCGAGTACTACTACCGATGCGACTGGCCATGCTGACCCGCGATAGATCTTACCTCCAGGCATACGCCTCGCACAGTCTCCGCACGGTGTTCGATGTCAACAAGTTGGATCTCGTCAAAGTGGCCAAGAGCTTTGGTTTCACGCATCCTCCGCGGGTGGACATACAGCTGGGTGCGGGCATGGCGCGGGACAAGAAGCAACAGGGACGGCGAAACTACGGGCCGAGTAATGACAAATTCAAACAGAAGCGGAAATTCGGGGCTCAGTCATGATGATTGTTTGTTAGTGGCTTCGGCGTTGTTTACTGTTAATATCAGCAATATTTCCGCTTTGCGAATTGCGTTTCTTCTGTTGTGATTTGATGTTGACGCCCTCTATACTCACCTCCCGCATCACGGCTTACGCGGCACCCCACGGTCCAGTGATGTCCGTCTCTAGATCCAACTCCTTCCACTCACCCTCTATATCACCCTCCACCAGTGCCTCTCGCTCACAACAGATCGCAAGAAAGAAGCCCTCTCCCTCCCCTCCCATCCTTCCCTCCAGAAAACTCACCTCCGTATACCACCTCTTACTCTCGTCCTCACCATCCACCCAAACCTCGGCGCCCCTCCACCTCTCCTGCCCGTGCCACCCCTCGAGCCCTCTAAACTCGACTCTCGTTAACTCGCCCACAATGCCTACGCCCACAGCCTTGGTATAAGCCTCCTTCAGCGCCCATAGGAGGTAAACACCCCTCACTCTCTCCACCGTGTCGCTCGCACGTAGCACCCACTCCACCTCCATAGCCGTAAACACGCCCGCCTCCGTTCCCCCGCCGCCACAAAACGTCTCTACGAACTCCTCCGCGCCGCATCTCGTATACGCCGTGGGAACGACATCGACGCCGACGCGGCGCTTCCGCTGCGGCGTCCTCGTAACCAGCGCCGCCACGGCGACCAAGCACCGCTCGCCGCCGGCGGGGAACTCCTGTCGCGGATTGTGATGTGAGGTGTTGTAATCCTCGACGCCGTCCAGCTGGCCGGTCCCGGCTACGGCCCCGTGGTACGGCCGCCCATTGGCTGGATCGCGGTGCAGCGGGACGGAGCTGAGCGTTGTGTGCGCCGCGTAGTGCGTGCAGATTACGTAGCGCTGGAGAAAGGCCGAGCCCAGTGCCAGCGCCCGGTCCGACGGGAAGTGGTAGCGCGTTATCGACGGGTGCACTGCCGGCGGGAGCAGTGAGAGTGCCGTCGCGAACCCGCTGGGGGTGAGTGTGGAGACGTCGAGGTAGAGACGGAGGAGCGGCATTAGTCTGGTTGGTGGGCGGCGGTGGGAGGAGAGACGGTGATGACGGACGGACGGGGACAAGGTTAGGGTGGGCGGGCGTCGTGTTCGAGTGTGGACACTCTGCGATCTGTCTATCTATGCATGCTACCAGCACTCGCTTCGCTGCATGGTTGCCTACCTATGTTTAACATGTCACTACACGATATGAGTTTCCCTCACAAGCAGACGGCCAAAGTACCCCGCCATCCGGTCTGGACTGAAACCCGCAGCCCCCTCATGGCCCGATCCCTTGCCCCCAGTGGCCAGACCACGAAGCAATCAGCTCTCGTTGGCTGCTTTCGTTTTCTTTCTTTCTTTCGGCACTGAATGACAACAACAAGTGCGGAGCGAGGGGGGAGGGAGGGGGAGGAAGTGAAGGCGGGGGGGCATGTGGCCGTATTCTACTGGAAGGACCGACGCACTGTTGGTGATGGTCTCGGCTCGCGCGTGATTTATATCTGGATCCAACTATTGCGGCTACAAATGTTCCACCTCACCCCCGGGAGTCAGAGGGAGCAAACAAACAACTCACTCAAACCTCCGCAACGCTCCCTCCACCCATCACCATCACCGCCACCTTCGTTAAAGTATCAACCTTCGTTTTCTCGCCACATCCGCATGGTAGCACATCACCATGCCCATCGATCCTCTTGCCCCCGGCCTCACGCCGCCATGGAACCCGACGGGAGCGGCCGGTGACGAGACGCGGGATCCAAAGACGCATGTGCTGCAGGGCTCGTCGGCGGCCGGCGCAAGAGCTCTCGGCACCCAGCTGGTAGCATTCTATTTCCGGGCTCCGGTCAAAGCGTTTTTCCGCATGCGAGTGGACTACATGGTACCGTCCCTTGATCCGTCCCTCCCATCCGCCCGCCCGCCGCTGACCGCCCGATAGCAAGTCGCCCGCGCCATCAACCCCGCCACCGCCAACGCCGGGTGGTCGGTAGCGCAGACTACGCCCGCACTGCTGTACCACGCGGTGCGGAAACACGGGTGGGGGTTCATCCCGCGGCAGGTGCTGCCGCCGATGGTCGCTAACGCCACTGTCGGCGCGATCCTGTACACCAGCTACCTCCAGACGCTGGCAGCGCTACATAAGCCTTCCGCACAGAACACGAAGCGGGTGTATCCGCCGCCGCCGTGGGCCGCCACGTTCCAGGCGGGCTTCGCCGCGGGTGCGATACAGAGCGTCGTTGCGGCCCCCCTGGATGCGCTCGTGGTCAGGTTCAAGGTTCAGGATATGCTCGACGGCGGGTATAGGAGCGTCTATGCATACAGCAGACACAAGCTAAAGGAGATTGGACTGCGGGGGGTGTTTGCGGGGTATTCGTTGAGCTTTATGAAGGTATGCTTTCCCCCACCGCCACCAGGGACGGGAATGGTGGCTGATGAAGATCCGCAGGAGTCCCTAGGCTACGGCCTCTTCTTCGCCTCGTTCGAATTCGTCAAGCAGCAGGCGTACTTCAGTTTCCTAACGTACTACTACTCAGGTCGGGGCCTGATCAACCTCGGCCCGGTACCGATCGTCTCGCCGCCGACGCCCGTCTCGGTTTCGTCGACGACGCACACCACGATCCGCCCGCACTACGCTCTCGAGCCGACGTTCCTCCTCCTCGCGGGCGCCTGCGCTTCCATCACGCAGCAGACAGTGCAGCACCCGCTGTCGAAAATCCAAGGTGTGCACTACGGGCGGCTGGAGAGCATCGACTACATCACGAAGAACGTCTCGCACCAGCCGCTGCGCGTCGTCGAGGCGTACAAGCGCGGCTATGGAAAGACGTACAGACAGTGTCGCGCGCAGGCGGCGAAGTCCGGTGGCTGGAGGAGGTGGCTTTGGAGGGGATTGGCGGTAAATACCCTCAGACAGATCCCGAGTACTTCTGCCGGACTGTTTGTCTTTGAGATCTTTAGGAGGAGGTTTGCCAGCGAGCAGAGGGAGAGTGTCGCTATTGAGTTTGGCGATAGGACTATTCTGTTGAACTGATTTGGTTGTTGGGTTGCGGGGTTGCTTAGAGGGATGGTTAAATGTACTGGAGGAGTTTTTGCTTGGGTTGGAGGGTTGTGTTTGGAGGAGTTTGTGTTTGCGGGATGGGGGTTTGGTGTTTACATGCTATGCTGGTGGATATGCCCCGATGGTTTCGCTCGGAGATAACTGACTACACCTACCTAGATGGATGGGAATGGATGGATGGATGGATGTATGGGATGGATGGGATGGATGGACGGATGGGAGTTGCGCAGTTTCTGTAAATATCAGGCGTGCCTTTTGATAGAATAAGGAATACATATGATAGACTGATAGATTGATAGACTGGACTAGACAGACAGACAGGATCATCACCATCATTCACAGCCGTTCAACAGTGGCCGGTCACATTCATCCCGAGCACTACCTTAGTTATCCCCGCCTGTCCCTCACGTCTCCTTCCCCATCTCCGCCTCCACCGCCGCATCCGCCTCAGCATACTCCTTTTTCCAGAACGCCCTGCGGCGATGCTTTCTCCCCACGCTCGTAATCTCTTTAACCTCCTCCTCAGTGAGCTCCCAGTCCCCCTCGACCTCGAGGACCTCCCTCATCCTGTCTTCCTTCCCGGTCGTCGCCACAACCAACGCCCCCCTCTGGCGAACCCATTTAAGCAGCACCTGTGCCTGCGTCTTCGCATGCTCCCCGGCGACCCTTTCCAGCACCGCATCCAACGGCCCCCCGCGAAACCTGACCAGCGGCGCCAGCGGCGAGTACCCAGCCACGGCCACCCCCTCCTGCGCGCAATAGCGCAAAAGCTCCTCGTCGCAGCAGTACGGATGCAGCTCTACCTGGTTCACGGCGGGGCGTACCCGCGCGTAACCCAGCAGCGACCGTAGTTGGGGGGTGTTGAAGTTGCTTACACCTATCTGCCGCGCTGCGCCCGAGGTGTGGAGGGACTCGAGGGAGGTCCAGACGTCGCGTACGGAGACGCCGTGGGTACTGGGGGTGAAGAAGGGGCAGTGGAGGAGGTAGAGGTCGACGTAGGAGACGCCGAGGCGCGTGAGCGAGCGGGCGAAGGTCCCCGGAGCGTCGGAGACGGTGGGCCATAGCTGTTTCCGGCGGCGGCGTTAGCTGCCGGCCCCTCCCCCTCCCCAGCCCCACCCCACACACACAGCTAGGGAACGCACCTTGGTAGTAACAAAAACCTCCTCCCTCATCACCCCCTCGGCGGCAGCAGCGGCAACGGCGGCGCCCAGCTCGCGCTCGTTGTTGTACGACTCTGCGCCGTCGAGGTGGCGGAACCCCGTGTGCAGTGCCGTCATGATCGCCGTGACGAGCGCGGCGTCGAGCGGTGCGTCCACCGCTGTCGACCAGGAGGTGCCGGTGCCGAAGGCGAGGGGGGGGATTGCGGCGGGGGTCATTCTTGTTGGGAGGGGGTGAGGGTGAGGGTGAGGGTGGTGGGCGAGGAGGTGGAGGAGGAGGAGCTGGTGGGGGGTACTTGTAGTTTTGGGTTAACCTTTATACACGGTGACGCAATGGTAGGAATGTAGAGTGGTGGTGGTGGGGTACACGATTGCGTGGAATAGGCATGTGCAGCTCGGAACGGGACTCGGGACTCGGGACTCGGGAGCGGATGTTTCTGATTTCGAGTTTCGGCTTGTAGCTGTAGCTGTAGCTGGTCCTCTACATAGCTTGTATGTAGCTTTCAGCTTGTAGCTTGCATGAAGCACGAAACATCATCCTCAGCTTGTCCTGTCGGATATACAAACCGGGTGTACATATATCCGGCGGGGACCCACATGCACAGCTGAACCTCCAGAGAACACATACGGCACCGGAATAGGTCTCATCCATCACGTCCATGGGATCTGACATCGGCAGTGACGGATACTCCTAGTTGTTTTGGAGAAAAGGACTGTCGATTGTCGTCTGCCATCGAGTGAGCAGCCATGTACTCGCATGTATGTACCGCCCCCATCTCTCCGTCCACCATCTCTCTCTCTCACTTGTGCAGGACCATAGATCATCCCGAGTCCATAAACGATATCTTCTATGCCGAAACATCCATTCTAAACTGCATCATTACTTCCCCAACTCTTAACGCCCAACGCCCTCCAACGCTCGCCCACGATAGTAGTATGATCATCTCCTCTTCCCCCCTTTCCCACCCGCAGCAGGAGTCGACGGTGCTGCCGCCGCCGCCGGTGCACTCCCGCTCCCACCGCCACTGCTACTACCCGACAAAAACCCAGCCACATCAAAATTGAGCGGATTCTCCGCGCCAGATCCGATAGGGCCCCGCTTCGACTGCGCCTGGAACTCTGCCTTAAACTCCGGATCCACTGTTTTCCCTCGCACGTCAGCACCCATTGCCGCATCCCCCCCCCCCCCTTCTCCCCACCAACGGAGGAAAGCAGAAACTTACTTTTATCCAGCACCTTCGGCAGCACAACAATACTGGCCAGCGAGACGATGGCGATAAGTATCATCGGCGACCCCAGCATCTTGAGGGGACTAAACCCCTCTCGGGTGATAAAGTGCTCCTTCCTCCCGACGGCGCGGACCTCGAGGGCGTTGAGGCGCTCGCCGGTATTATCCCACGCGTTGCCGCGGAACGTCTGCGTTACCGAGATTGCCGCTGGATTGCTGGAGGAGACGTCGACGCGGTAGGGCGCGAAGTGGTGCGTTGACGAGAGGGTTTCCAATAGGTAGGACCCCGAGGATAGGTTGCGGAAGACGAACGTGTTGTCGGCGTGCAGCAGCGTGCGGTGTGTGGAGTACGAGGTCGTGAGTGTTAAGGTCGTGTCGGCGAGCAGCAGCGAGGGGTTGGGAAGGTGCGGCGAGGGCACGATCGCGCCGCGGAGGGTGGTGGCCACGGCGGCCGTGGTCGACAGGAGCAGTGTGGTGAGGGCGTAGAGCTTCATTTTTCGTGTGTCGTGTTGTGGTTGGGGCTGGGGGATGTATCTGGCCGGTTCGGAGGTCTATGTAGCTTAAGCGTCGGCTGGCGGAGCCGGGTAAAGTCTATTCACCGAATATCACATCACCAATCGAGCGAGATCTCAAGTTTGAATAGTGGCTAAACTGAAGGTCTCTCTCTCCCAGGTTGAACAGTGACGAGAAGTACCATTATCAACAATTCTCCTCTCAATCAACCGCCATTCAGTCGCCGTCCATTGAAAACACCCCCAGCTATACAGATCCCTCTCTGTCCCTCTCAAGTACAATCAGGTTGGTACAAAGCTACAGCAGCCAAACAGAAAATGCGAAAAATGCAAGCAATCGGTCGTAAAAACCCAGCATCCTGCCCGTCGCATCCATCACCGGTCGGTGAAGAGAAAGACAAAGACAATCAAGTGCAAGTCTCCGTCCGTCCACAAGTCCACAAATGCAAAGGTAAAAATATAACGTACAGCAAAAGAAAACATGCTCCGATAGAAAACATTTCCAGAAGAAAAACAACCACAGCCATTAGGAAATTCGTCAGAAAAAGCAGAAGAAAAGTAAAACAAACCCCGCATAATAACAAAGGACCAGGCAATCTATGCACAACCCCCTGTAAGTAACATAGTTAACATAGTTTACAATCCCGAACCAGTATTGTAACTCCTCTCCCCGTACTGTACAGTCATAGCAACTTACCCCCCTACCCACCCCAAACCGTTCATGTAACCCTCGTAATACCGTATGAAAGAGAAAAAAAAGAAAAAAGGAAAAGGTTCATCGTCGGACGGTATCGTAAAAATAGGTTGTCGATTCGCTCAGTTGATATCCAGTACGCGCATGTACAGAAAGATCGTACACGTCGTCAGACGAGGAACTGGGTTCCCATCTCGGGGTGGAACGGAGGCGGGTACGAGTGCTGCTGAACGGGAGTGGGACGCATCGGTCCCTGGTTGTGGACGTTCGGACGCATCTGAGGGGGAGGATTGTAGGAGCTCGAGCGCGAGTGTCCGGACGGCGATCCTCCGTTCTGAAACGGCATGTTCATCTTGTTCTCGTTCATGGTTCCGAGCTTGCTCTGAATCCTACGTCCATAGGGAAAGTTGCGAATCGACGGGAGAAGAGGCATGATGACCTCTGCGAGCTTCTGACGGGTAACCGGATCGGCATAGTCGATCTAGGCAATGTCAGTAAGCAGCAAGAGAATACCGCAGACACAATCGGAACTGACCGAAGTCTGGATGACATAATTGGCGTAGCAATCACGCAACATGTCGTCCATGCGCCCAGAAGCGACGATCTCCTCAATCAGAATCTTCTTGGTAGGAGTCTCGGCAACACGGATACACTACAGCCCGAGTCAGTATTGAGTACGAAACGAATCTGCCACTGAGACTCTACCTTCTCGATGACATTCGAACTGAATTTCTGCTTCGCCAGCTCGCAGATCATGCCGCAGAACTTCAAGATGACGGGCTCCGAAAGGGTCGGCTCACCAAGATCCACTGTAACCAAACAATTAGACCAACCAATACGGATGTGGGAAGTGGGGGGACTCACAGATGTACTGGACGACGTAGTTTCCAAAGGCGTCCTGAACAAGCTCAAGGGAATGGGCAGTGATCCTCTGGATCAGCTGCACCTTTTGAAGGCCCGAAGCGTGGTCAATGCACCTCTGAAGAACGCAGCAACCATGGCGATGAGTTCCAACCGGGATGCAGTTTTCTCCAACGGCATCGAAGATGAACTGGTAGAACAGTTAGCTACAAGAATCGTCAAGACAGGCCGCAGTCGGTGTCAAACCTGAGCATCCTCGGGCTTCAAACGGTTCAGGCACTTCTGGATGACGTGGTTGCCATTGAGGTCCTGGATGAGCTCAACGACCTTGCTCTCGAGAGCGTGGACGATGGTATCGATCTGCTCACGAGTCGAGAGGAACTCGATCATCTTCTGCAAAGCGCGGGTGCCATGTTGGTTCAAGGCGATGTCAACCAAGCGGGGAGCGGCAGTGTTCACAAGAACGGTGCGCTGCTTGTCGTTGGTAAACTCGAGCAGCTTCTGGCAGAGGTAATTGCCGAAGGGATCTGGCCACCGGTTAGATGAGTCATGTTTGATGGCATCGGCACACATACCAGTCATCAGCTCGATTACATGAGAGTGGGTTTCCTTGAAGATCATCTCGACGTATTGGGGATTTCCCTCCTCCAGCTTCTTCTGCAGGTAGCGGCAGCCGTGCTGGTCCTTGCAGAGGGTGTAAATCTCGTTGACAAGAGTCTCCAGCTTGACGTTCGCAAATCGGTTGACTGAATCGTCGTCAGCAATGAGTCTCGTGATAGGCAGGGAATTGAGCAACAAACCTTCACCCTCGCTTCCCCTCTTCTGCATGTTACGACCCTGCATCTGGTGGGGGGAGTCGGGGACAGCCCCAGCCTGTTTATAGAGAGGGTAGGGGGGTCCGTAGGGAGTGGTGTGGAACACGGGAGCAGCGCTAATGCTCTGGAGGTTGATGTGTCCATAGGCTCCGTACAGACCAGGAGAAGGCAGAGGAGCCATGCCAGTGTTGGGAATAACCGGCATGTGGACCATGCCAGCAGAGAGAGGAGGACCAAACATGGTGGCCGACTGCATCGGATCAATCAGCACGGATGAAGTCTACATGAGAGGAGGAGTGTGTGTTCTTACGTTGTTAGCAGCAGTAACCGAGAGCTCACGGCTGTGTCTCTGTCTGTCGATGGGTCCTCTGCCGAAGGTGTTGTTCTGCATGTTGTTGCTGCTGCTGCTGGCAGCTCTCATGGTGGGGATGTCGGAGGTCGAGAAGGAGGGCTGCAACTTGGGCATTGTACCTTGGCGGCTCTGACCCGATTCGGTCTGCGTGATCTTGGCACTCAGGTTCTCACTGAAGGTGGAGAAGGGGAAGTCGGTGGAAGAGCGCTCGAATCGACGGATGCCAGGAGAGTCTGTCTGCGGCACAACCTTGGGGGAAGAGTTGCTGGTAGGAGTGTAAGGGAAGTTGTTGACAGGCAAGCTGTGCTGAGCAGGACGATGGGAACGAGTGAAGGTTGTGTGACCCCACAGCTGCTGCTGCTCCATCTGGCCACCTGCATTCTCAGGATAGGCTAGATCGAGAGCTGCGGAAGAAGCAGAGAGCTGCCGAGAAAGGTTAGCAAGGTCCAAAACCGGTCGATCGAGGGCAATTATACCTTTCCGGGATGGCTCTGCGTCAGGATGGGAAATTTATTGTCCGTGGACATCATCTGGAGGTAGGATTTGACGTCCGGGGAAGTGGTGGCAGTCTTCTTCTCGGCGTTGCTCTTGTCGGTGTGATCGTCGTCAAACAGAAAGTCCGCAGTGTTGATCGAGCCGAGTCCAAAGCGAGACGTTCCGGATTGCATGGAATTCTGGTTATCGAGAGAATTGTTGGGCAGGGAATTTCTGTCAGACACCGAGAATCAGCATGAACGTTCGAGCTCTCTGGATTCCGACCATCGGAAGTGGAACGCTACCTAATCATTGAACGTTGGCCGATCGGAGCCTGAGTGGGGGTCCCGCGAGCCTGGTTTTCGTCAGAGTTGCGGCGAGATCCCGGGACCGATCTGGAGTTGCTCTGGGACAGCAACGACAGAACATCCTCGGAAGGGGGCGTAATCAGTTGCTGTTGATCCAGACGGTTACTAACTGTAGGGGGCGTGGCCAAAAGGGACGCGGGAGCCATTGCTGCTTTGGAACGTCCGTAAGGTCCGTCACGAAACTCCGGAGGTGTGGTCGGCTCACTGTGTCCTGCCGACAGCGAAACACGATCGCGGGGGTTGTTGGTCATGGCCATGCGGTCCAAGTTCTGAGCCATGCGTAGAATCTCCTCTTCGTCCTTGCGGTTCTGAAGCTCCATAAGCTTCATGCGTGCCTCGTACTTCTTCTGCTCCTGGCGGCGGGACTCGTATGCCATCTGCTTCTGTTGAATCAACTATATATGGGGAAAAAAGGATCCAGATTAGCTTTCCGACTCGACCATCCTCAAAAAAAGAAGCTTAATTCTAAAGCTTACCATCTGAACCCTCTTACGTTCCTGCAGAAAACAAAGTTAGCCCAACCCATCCTACCACAATAGCTTTTCCCCTTCGGGGCCGGGAATACGTACATCCTCGCCGAGGGAGTCATCCATGGATTCCGAAACGGGAATGCGGGGGAGCCTGGACTGATCCCACACCGATCCGATAGGTGGGGTGATCATAGCGTCGGCGGTGAATCGACGCGTAAGGCCAGCCCTCACATCGGCTGTAGCCGACGAGGGAGGCTGGTTGTGGTTTCCGAGCTCGGAGCCGTTGCGGAGCGGGGCGTAGGAGGTGGAGGAGGAGGGGAATTGCTGTCCCTCGATGCTTCGGAAACGCATCTCGTCGAGGTGCCGATCATGCACGGAAGCAGAGAACGCCATTGCTCATAACTGGCGAGAGTGTTAGCTCGGAATCGACAAGATAGTGCCTCTCAGGAGCGGGCTGATGCATAACGAGGGCTGGGTGGGGGGTGGGGGGTGGGGGGTGGTTATGTGGACGATTGGGGTAATTTCGAAGCGGGCCAACAAGACAGTTCGCCAGCTCATCTCGAGGTCCGCCCGAAGAATTTTTTTGGGACACGGCAAGGAGCAGGAGCAGCAGGAAAATCTTACCACGACGGCGTCGTAGTCCGACCGAGTGTTGTGAGTTGCGGGAAAGGAACAGTAGTTCCCGCGAGGCTGATCGAACGAAGGTTTTGGCAATGGTGTGTAGCGCGCGGGAGGTGAAGGTAGTAGTCCGGGGGAGAGGTCTGGGTAACGACAACGATTCGGGACGAGATCTCAAAGACGAAACGAAACGAGAGGAGTTAACGAGCAGAAAGAAAAGTGAGAGGAGAAAGCACGGCGGGGTAAGAAGGGGGTGAGGAGGAGGGGAGAGGTATGGAGAGGAGAGGGGGGAGTGAGAGAGAGAGGAGGAGGAGGTGAAAGTAGTGGGTTAGGATGGAGTGGTTGGGGGGGGGGGGGGGGGGGGGGATGGTGGATGGTGGATGGTGGAACTTGGTTTGAGTGACGAACGTGCAGTGCAGCAAGCAGCAGCAGCAGCAGTAGGCAGGCAGGGCAGGCAGGCAGCAACAGCGGCAAAGTAATGAGCGAACGGTACGGTCCGTCGGGGGTCCCTTCTATCTATCGTTCCTCCTCGTCTTCCTATTCCTCCTCCGTGGTGTCGTCTCGCGCTGACAAGAGAGTCGACTTTGACAACTCAAAATTCAGCCGCGACGACAAAAGAGCTTTCAGCTCTCAGCTAAGCACATATCGAACTCCACGGAAGGAGTCGAAGACGTATCATACTTCGTACTTTAAATAATGTTTATCTGGCTCCAACTTTGCGCACGAATAAGCTCTCGTTGAATGCCGCGTGCTCAATGTATCGCTCACTCGAGGGTTCGCACTCTACTCTCATCCCAACTCAATCGCCCCTCCCCCTCCCCTCATCCACCTCCCTGCGACACGGTCTCGCCGCCAAGTTCGGTTCAGGCCATTCGAAGGAAGAAGCTTGACTCTAGGGCTGCATCGTCTCCGCACTCCCCGGTGATCCAGATTGGAAACGGGAGTCGCGGCAAGTTCTCCAGCCCGTTGATCTGATTGAGTTCGCTCGGTGACGCAGAGCCTCTCTCGCCAATGCCAGGGACCTAGGTAGAGTAGGCACGATACGTCCCTTATCTAACAAGCTGTCTCTATCTCAGGGTCCCACAGACGACCCGAGCAAGGCAATCGAGCGAACATGTGCGTGTGTGGTTGCAGTTACGAGCAAGCAAGCTATGCTACCTCTCTAGCTAGCGAGCTGCTCCTGCTGCTCCTGCTGCTCCTGCTGAGTCCAGAACTTCCATGAGCCGTGGACGAGCACAAGGTTTAAGGGCCTGGTCGGTGGTGGTGGGCTCGACTCTAACTCTAGACATAGTCGGGCCTTGATCACCCAGGGCCAGCCATCGTTCCACGCCGTTGCGGGCCAAACTTACGGGAGTGTCCGCGCCCGCGCCCGCGCCCGTCCATGTAACCAACTAACCACATCCTCACAGACTTCGCCCATCCTTTGAAGAGTTTGAAGCGCGGCCCACCATCGAGAAACGTATCTAGAGTACGTAAGTAAACACTCTAAAGCCCGGGCCCCGGACGGGAGAGTTTCGAGCGCACCAGCACCAGAGATCCAGAGCCGCAACCACCTACCACCTACCCACCTACCGCACACGTAACCAAGCATCCGTGCGTTATACACTCTACCTACTCTATCATATCGTCATGCTTAACTTAATTTATCGATCTCTGATCATTGATCACAATGCCTCTGTGAGACCGTGGGACTGTGAGACTGTGGGCCTGTGGCCATTCAACTCTAAAAATGGCAATTGGCCAGTGGCCTCGACACTGGACAGTCAGCATCCCTAAAACGGCATTTCCCTCTCTCCCTCTCTCCCTCTCTCGCGAATGGCCAGCCAGCGAATCATGCTCGAGTCTGGGTGAAGAAGCTCAAGGTTGCGCAGTCAATGGGTCAATGGCTTCACGCTTCGTGACTGGACGGAGGCCTGACGGTAGTGAACTTTGAAGGAGGGCACACAACCCTGCCCCTCGACCCCTCGACCCCGCCGGCCGCCCCTCACCACCACCACTGCGGTCTGCCACTATGGTCGACCACCAACCACGGCCAATCTACGACACTGGGGGAGTGGAGGGAGTGGTGCGGAGTGGTGCGGAGTGGCCGGTGGCCGTTGACATGTGGCTCATTAGAGTGCAAAATGTCGATTCCGATTTTACCGAAGGGGAGGAAGAAAGAAAAAAGAAGGAAAAAAAGAAGCAAATAAAGGAGGAAAAAGAACAAAAAGAAAGAAAAAGAAGAAGGGGAAAAAGAAAAAAAACCCCCGAAGAAATAAAGAAAACCCCCCAGGAACAAAGGAAACATTTCCTATTTGTTTAGAAATCAAAGGGCTCGCTGAGTCGCTGAGTCGCTGGACTCGGAATCTCGGATCAGGGCTCGCTTTATCTTGAGTGACAAGTACCGTACTATCACATCTCCCCATGTACTCGTACTCTATCCCCGGCCGCTTACTGGCCGCCTACATACAACTGGTCGATCAAGAATGGGAACGTAATCCACTGACTGACTGGTTCGTTCGCCTCCCTCTTTGCCACAAGCCAAGTGCCGCTCTCTCGCTCTCTCACCCACGAGCGAGACAAAACACCAGCTGGCCGACCACTGCCACTACTACCGTACTCTACTCTACCGTACTCTACCGTACTCTATCTACTCTATGTAAGACGAAACAGCTGCGGCCGTCGACGCCGCCGCTGAGTCGCTGAGTCGCTGACTGGTCCAACCCCCCGCAGGCCGGCGGTCGGGCGGTGGGATCGAGATCGGATCCGGCAAACGAATGAACGAACGGGCGGGAGGTGGGCCGCGCCGCGCCGCGATGGGCTGTGGGTTCTTGTCATAGGTAGAGTAAGTAAGTGGCGGGAATGCCATTGGGGATAGGTATGATATAGTGGGTACTTGGGGATCCTCAAGATCAATCGCTGATTGGATAGTATACACAGGTATGGGGGCTTACGCAGAGCTGACATCCGCCTCGAAGGCTGAAGCTCGTGTGAAAAGTTCACGGGTAGGTATTGAGGCGCTGGACAATGGAATGGAGGCGTACTCCCGAACTCCCAGGAGTCCACGACAAAGGCATGCATCCGTGTGGAACGGAGATCATCATTCGCGAGTCAGCCGCCTCTTCGCGGAAACATGCGTGTTCGCTCGCTCGTCTCGTAGACATGTGTGTGTGTGTGTGTGCTCGCGGCAATGGCCACTGGTCACTGGGTTTCTCACGGCGTCACGGCGTCTATCTGGAGCTCGGGATAGGACCGAGGTATGCACACAGGATACTCTAGACGCATAGCACCCAGCTCTATGCATCTGCTCTCCCGTGGTTCCGCAAGGGCCAACTCCAGCGCCCCGGAGTCCGGATCCCGAGATACGGATGTGTTCGATGACCATGCCAATGCATCCTCTTCAGAGGTACCTACTCCATGCAGTCCCAAACAGTCCAAAGTATGAAGGGGAAATGCCCCCACTGCACCGATGGCAGGACGTTATCGATCCCCCACTTGACGGTGGTGGTCAACATCCCCAACCCTTCCCGAGCTCCACACGTGAGCATGTGCCTGCTACGGTGTTGCACGTCGATATCTTCTAGTTAACGTTGGCGTGGGGCCTTTGGGTGCGTCGGTGAAGATCTACCGGTATCAGGACGTCGAACTCGATCGATTGACCGTCGACGATGCTCCGGGTTTGCGAAACTTCGGAGGGCTACGGTGGGTGTGCGGTCGAGGAATCAATTACTGAGATACCCATCACGGGGAGGATTGTAGTAACCAAATGATGGTCGACTGCCGTCATTACCTACAACATATGATATCACCGCCAGGGTTCTAATGGACATTCGAGACGCCCCCGGGGCCCGTAGGCTGCATATAGTTAACCAAGTAGAGTCCCTACCCGCTGCTCGGTTACGCGAAACCAGCATTTAAGCCTATCCGCATACAGCATACCAACCGCGCGCGCGTCTTCCCATCCACGACTCACGACATCCAGTGTCCACATACGCAACACCAAAAAAATAAACCACACACAATGCCGTACAACGACCTCCTCACGTCGATCTCAGAGCGGTATCCGTGCCGCGACTCACAACTATCGCAGCTGTCGGCATTGATAGGCGATGTACGTTCTGCCACTCCGCAATCCCTAGAAACAAATCCCGCGGCGCGTCTGCAGCTGCTAACACCCGCCACTCCCAGGAAACCTCGCCGAGCCCCTCCTCGTTCGTCCTGTACGGCCTCGAAGCGACGGGTAAAACGCTCATCCTGCGGGCGTTACTACAAGAGTCCGAGGTCAGTTTCTCGTGGCTGCCGTGTGACGAATGCATCACTGCCCGCCACTTGACGGAGCGCATTGCGGCGACGGTGGAGGCTGCACTGGATCTCGGTGAGGACCTGGGGCTGCCAAGGTCACAGGAGGTTGGCGCCCTCGCGGTTTTCCTGCAGGCCGCGCTGGCGAGGGTGAGGGAGGTGAAACATTTTTTGGTGAGTGGAGGTGGGGGGGGGGGAGGGTGTACTTGGTTGGGTGGGGTTGGGCTGGGTTGACGGGGGAGTGAACAGGTGCTGGATAGAATCGATCAGCAACGGGATCCGACACCGACTTTGGTACCCGCGCTGAGGAGGATGGGCGAGATGGTGTGTGCTATGTTTTTCCCTTTTGCAGCTCGTAAACTGACTTCGGTAGATCCCCAATCTGACGGTGATCTTCGTCGTCTCCGCGCCACACTCCCGGTTCTTCAGTTCCGCCGAAATACCGCATATCCATTTCCCGCCGTACTCGCGCGAAGAGAGCATCGAGATCCTCTCCACAAACCCACTACCGATCAAGAAAACGGGTGAAGAGCAGGATCCGGACGACGACGAGACGTCCGACGACGAAGCGACCAAGGAGGAGCTCGCGAAGGAGGAGCTCTACGTGTGGCAGAAATTCTGCGCGACGGTGTGGGACTCGCTCGCGAAAGGTGCCGCAAGGGATATCGTACGTTTCCGGAACGCGGTGGAGAAGAATTGGAGCACGTTTGTGCAGCCTATCGCGAGAGGCGAGTATGGAACTAGGAATTACTCCAGCTTGTACCTGTACCACAAGGACATGTTCCGGCAGGAAACCAGCGTGCTCGATACGGTTATTCCGCCAGCTGTTAATGAGAGGTCCACCATGGTGGTGAAATGTGAGTCGAGCGAGCGAGCGCCTCCCCATGTGTGCGGACGTGGCTGACACTGGAGATCGATAGCACATGACCTACCGTACTACTCCAAATTCCTGCTCTGCGCGGCGTATCTCGCATCGTACAATCCTCCGCGCTCCGATGCGCTGCTGTTTACCAAAGCCGGCGAGGGCAAGAAGCGAAAGCGCGGAGGTGGCCTCAACAAGCAAGCCGGAACACGAAAGGTACGCCCACCCCCGTCTTCCCCCCACCCCTCACAATGGTTACTAACACCGCCCAGATCCAACGTCGCCTCCTCGGCCCGCAATCATTCCCGATCGAGCGGCTGTCCGCCATCTTCCCCACGCTGACATCGCACACCGTCCCCCCGTCGGTCGACGTCCAGGCGCAGATCGCTACGCTCACGTCGCTGCGACTGCTGGTCAAGGCGACGAGCCTGGATCCCCTCGATGGCAGCGCCAAGTGGAAGGTCAATGTCGGCTGGGAGTATATCCGCAGCATCGCCAGGAGCGTTAAGTTCGATATCGAGGACTACATGATTGAATGATTGATTCGTGCTGGCCCTGGGGGATTTGGGATTTAGTGTGCATACAATAATAGACGAGTCGTTTTTTTTTCTCTTTTGGTTCGACATCTTCAAACAGACGTAATAGCTTCCCTTAACACTGTTCTACGTGTAACCGCGCGTGCACCCGTGCCGTACCTGCGTGCTGGGTGGGTGGGGTGGGTGGGCGAGCGAGGCATTCAGCTCCCAGCCCAGGCAGGCAGAAAGCTTGCATGCGGGGGTGGGTCTCAAATGCGAGTTTAGGCGCTTTTCTCTAGCTCGGTGCGTGGGCAGTTGGGCAGTTGGGCAGTTGGGCAGCAGAGATGGTGGGGTCGCAAAAAGCGAACGGCGCAAGTTGCAACCGTAGTCTCTCTCGTGGCTCGCAAGCCTCTCTCGCCTCACCAACCCAACCCGTCACCTCCGCCGCCAACGGCACCACCATGACCGCACCACTTCCGCGCCGACGACAACGACAACGAAGACGACGCGATGTCGCAACCCGCACAGATCCCCGGGTTCTACTACGGTCCCTCCCCTCTGCCTCCCTCCCCCTCGCCCCCGTCCCTCCCCCCTCGCTCCCCCCCCCGCCTCCCCACCCCCGACACACCAGCTAACAAGCGCAGACCCGCAAAAGCTTAAATACTTCCGGATCCTCCCCTCACACGCGGCGCCTACTGCGGCATTCTACAGCACGGCGTCAGTGGCGACGTCTCAGCGCGCGGCTGCGCGGGCTGAGGAGCAGACCCGCGAGCGCGAGGAGCGCGCGCGCGCCTGCAGGAACCCGCTGGATAAGAATCCGCATGTGAGGGTACGCCTGGGAAGGGAGCTGGAGGGGTGGAAGGATGGGGAGGCGGTTAGGAGGATTTGGGGGCAGGGACTAAGGAGGGGGGTGGTTTATGAGGGGGGCGCGAAGGTTACGGCTTTCGTGGCGGTGGAGGGGGAGGGACAGGGTGGTGGGGGTGGTGGGGGTGGTGGGGGTGGTGGGGGTGGTGGGGAGGGCGCGCTGAGGGCAGTGGTCGGGACGAGTGCCGGGGATGTGGGGTAGGTCTCTTTGCATGTGCGCTGGTGGAAGATGGTGGGAGTGGGCTAATACAACGGGAACAGGATCGTCCCTGTGCGGACGGACGGCGGGAATCTCAAAGCCGACCCCGGGGATATGATGCCGTTGATCCACCTGCACTCACAGATCACGTCTATCTCGCATTCCTCGCAATGGCTCCTCTGCACGTCGATGGGCGAGCGCCACAGCCCCAAGCTACACCTCTCGCACCTCTCGCACGCCTATCCAGGACAGACGCACTCGCTCCCCAACGTGCGCTCGATCTGGACGTCGTCCGCCTCCTCCGACACCTCCACGCCCTCCTTCCTCGTGGGCACGTCCAACTCCGCACTGCACATCACCGCGCACCCACACACAACGCAGCAAACCAGCCACCGCATAAAATCCGACGTATTCGCGACCTGCTTCCTGCCCTCCTCATCGAGCGTATTCCTCGCCGGCTCGCGCGACGGCGACATGCGCCTTTTCGACTCGCGCGCGCCCTCCTCGCATGCGGCTAAGGGCGAGATCGTCGTCCGCCACGGCGGGACGGTGACGCACATCTGCGCGCTATCCTCCGCGTCCGTGATCGTCAACGGGCTAAGCCGGTGCGCGGTGTACGACCTGCGGTACCCGCACCCGCGCAGCCCAAGCGCGAGCTTTGCGCAGGCCACGGGCGCCACAAGGGTCTACGACGGCGCGGTCAGGGAGCGCGAGTTCATGATTGGTCGCGGGTTCGATGTGGACACTGCTGGTGGCGGGGAGGTCATGGTGCTCGCGGACTGCGAGCACTGGGTGCGGCTGTATTCGGTTATTAGCGGTGAGGAGCTCAGGCGGTGGAAATGGGAGAGCCCCTGTACGGGATTGAAGTTCGATGGCGAGAGGAGACTGTGGGCCAGCGCAGGGAAGGCGTTGGAGTGTTTTACATATTAGCTGGATCATGGGCGATCATTCGGATATATGTAGAGTACACTGGGTGATAGTAGGTGGACCAGGTTGACAATCTGATTCCGATCGTTCGTAGCCTGCCCCCGGTTCAAGAGGGCATCATTATCATCAAACGGTTCACTCCCACACAAACACAACACAACACAAGACCACACAAGACAAGACAAGACAACACTACAGGGCTGCTAAACAAACACACAAACAGAACCAAGCAAGAAAAAGAAACCCAAACCCAAAGCAATACATAGCAATAGCCATCCCAACCCTATCGAAGCCAAACCAAAGAATACACAAAGAGCCCATTCAAACACGCGAACCCAGATTTCATCAGCATTAACAAGTAGGCAACTAGCTCGCACTACCACGCACTACCACGCACTACCACGCACTACCTCGCACTCGCACTCGCACTACTCGCCTGGCCACTAAGCTGGAACTCGGCCGTCTTGACGCGCTCCTTAACATCGAGTTCCGTATCCTTCTGCATGAGCTGCAGCCTCTCGGCCCAGCCCAAATTCCGCAGGACGTTGATGCGGCGCTGAACGCCCTCGGCCTCGCTGCCCTCCTCCTTCCATGTGAGGTTTATGACGACCCACGCGAGGCCAGAGCGCACGTGCGGATTCCGGTGGTCCCAGAACCCGAGCAGGACGCGCAGCAGGTCTGTTCGCTCGATGATGCGTTGTCTGTGGCGCGGGGCACCGGCGGCGATGTGCACGATGTTGTAGACGACTGCGTTGACGATTTCCGAGGGTTGGTTTGGTGCCGAAAGCAGAGTCTCGTATAGCGTGAGGAGGCGGTCGGCGCCGATCGAGTTGAACACCACGTCGATCATCGAGCCTACTTCGGTTCCGCAGATCAGGTTGCGGATGAATTCTAGCCCCTGCTCTTGCAATGAAATCGCTTCTTTCCGGGATTGTGTGCCTTGTGCGATCCGTTCTTGCTTTTGGAGGCGGTGGACGGCGGAGCGGATTTTGGGTGGGAGGCGCTGTGAAAGTTCCGGGGTTGGGGTCGGCGTGATGGTATGGTCGGCCATTTCCTCGTCCGCGTCGGAGTCCGAGTCCGAGATGGTGTCGGCGGCTGGGTCGGCATTGATCTTGGAGATGATCGACATGAGGTACTCTACACCGAGGCATTCGAGACTACGGCGTTTCATGGTTATGTCCGCTTCGAGCATGAGGTGTTTGAGTGCCCAGAGTGCGTTGAGCCGGAGGGGGCCATTGGTGCCCTTGACGTGATCGCACAGCACCTCGAGTGCGCCAGCCTCCGCTATCGGCTTCCGCATGGGAGAGAAGTCGAGGACGAGGTTGCAAACCGCTGCGGTAGCGGCGATCTTGACGTCGTCGTTTTCGTGTCGGAGGAGCGAGAACATTGGGATCGCCACTGCGGCATCGGTGAGTGATGTCCGTAGGATACTAACTGAGCGGGACAGGGCACGGATGCAACCGCAGGCGGCGATGAGCACAGACGGCGGGTTGCCTTCGGCGCTGTTGTTCTCCGGCGGGAGCGGCGAGGCGATCGGAGTCAGTGGCTTGAGACATGCGCCCACCACCGTCTTCAGTATGCCGGCGTCAACGATTTTCTTACGGTATTCGTCCTTGAAGAGTCCCAGATTCGCCAGACACCGAAGCACGCCCTCCTTCACCTTCATCCGATGATTGTATTCCGGGCTACTCTTTGATGCGGGCTCCTGTGGCATGTGCGGTGTGTCTCCATTCATGAACCCATTCGCACTTCCAGAAAATGATTCCGAGACCTTCTTGAGGATGGCCGCCAACTTCTTGACTGCTCCGGCATCGATCGCCGCCTTCTGGAACTCCGGATTCTCGATCACCAATCTGGAAAGCACCGCCGGGGCCCTCTCTTCCACCTGCCACCGACTCCACTTCTGCGCGTCGATACCACCGACTCCAGTATTGCCGAACCCGCTAGAGACCTTGCATTCCTCGTCGAGTAGCCGTACCAGGATCGGAATAACCAAAAGCGCCACATATGACACCAATCGTTTGGCCACCAACCCGACTAGGAACAAGTTGGTGAGAACGCTCGCTGCTGTCAACCGTGTGATCGGATCACCCATCCTCACGAGACTGATCAACCAATTGACGATCTCCAACTCGGGAATGTCAACGGATGTATCGGCACCCCCGGCGTCTCCTTCCTGCGTGCCCAGGACAGTACGCAGTCGTTCGTCCTCCGCCAATTCTACCGTAGCCGTGGCCGCGTGCATCCTTCGGCGCAATGGTGTTTCTCCCCCAGAGGTCTCGGAGTCGTCATCTCCCCCGGCAACAGCAGCGGTAAGCAAGTCGATTCGCTGCTCTTCGGTCAAATTGTGGTGAGAGTGGAGGTGGCTGGAGTATTGGTGAAGCGCCGGGAAGCTCATGGAATGACTTCCAGCGGAAGTCCTCAAGGGTGGGAATTGACCAGATGAGGTCAGAGTAACTGCAGCTGAAAGCGGGGGGAACGCAGAAGGTGTGACAATCGGCCCAGCTCCCTGAATCTCAGACGATGGCTTCGGCTGGGGTAGATGTAAGCTCGCGGCCGCGCCTTCCAGCCCACCCCTCATCTCATCCGTCGGGAAGAGCGTGCTTAGAGCGGGCGAAAATAAAAATTCGATGGAGCGAAGCTTCGAGCCCCGGATAATAGTAGCGATGGCATCCAGGATGGGCGCTATCCTCGCATTCGGAGGTGCCTGTGGGGGTGTCCTGGCATCGGAACCACACTTCTTCCTATATTCATCTGGCGCGAATGAGGCCACTCTTGTAGCCAAAGCATCGAGAACCCCGGATGCGGCCAACATCTTCTGGTGCATTCCCTCCTGCTGCGCCGTCCCCTCCGCGGACTCGCCGCCAGCGGTGTGAGGTACTCGTCCGCACGACTTCGCGATCGCGGAAGCCGCCAAAGCAATCTGCTCCTGCGTCAACCTATCCGGCGACTCCCTCGACAAGATCTCGCGCAGATTCCGCAGACCATCCGGAGTGTAGATAACCGACGAGATCGCCACGGCCGGGCTTAGCGGTGCGGTAGGCGAAACGCACGTATCAAGCATCGTGTTGATCGTCCGCAACGAGGATTGGGCGAGCTTCGGGAGCGATTTGTCCGGGTTCAACGAAGCGGTCAGAGGTAGTAGCACGTCTGATTGTATGAGGTGCAAGATGTGCGATTCGCCGCCTGTAAGCGTTGCACAAGAGCTGTTAACATTTTTCTTTCTTTTCCGCCAACGCGCACCCCCGATAATGTAAGCGTCTCATGTGTAGGACAGCTAAGTATGGGAATGGATTAGGGGAGGGCAGGAAGGGATGTCTCCGGCAGAGGACGGAACATCGCGGAGGAGAGGAGGAGTAAGTATTCCGTACCATATGCCAAACTGCCGACACATATTCCGGCTTCTACCTTCACTTCCTGCCAGTGCTCCCCATCCAGATTCAAGATTGCGACGAGTCTGTTGACGAGCCCGTTGCGCACAAACATCTCTTTTGTTTTGTCATGGCCGATCAGAAGGTGCTTTACGGAGCGCAGGCACTCGAGGATTGTCGCTGGATCCCGGGATTGTAACTCCGCCATGCGCGACAGGCAGAACGCTTCCTCTTGCGAGTGGGTCATTATGCCAACGGGGCACGGGTTGGTCGTGTGTGTGGTTTGTGTATTCTTTTCGTGGAACGCGTCTGAAGTGGGGGATGAGGTTGTTGATCGGATTGGATGTTGTTCGTCGGAGGTGGTGGGTGGAGGGTGGGAGAGGTGTGTAGTGAGTGTGGTGGAGAGTGTCGTTTCGTTTGTTGCGCTCTCGCTTCGCTGCTTCTTGCTGTTGGTTACACTTTCCAGACAGCGAGGACAAGACCTTGTGAAACCGACCTTCGACCCCTGCCAGCTGCCAGACCGAACCGGAATTGGGACGAGACAGAGCACGTCAACGCGACGAGACAGCTTGACTTGGCAATCGCAGTGTAAATGCTCTTAAGTAAATGTTTTTTTCTTCTTTTCAAAGTGGACGATCACAGCTTTATTGAAGCACCACAGAACTATTATAGGTTCTGCTGGCCATTTGAAACCGCAACATCGGGAGTAATGACAATTCAGAGAGCAAAGTTGGCGCTACATCCCCGCAATTTATGTAGCTGTTCTATTAATATTAATGATACGGCCATGTCGAAACTTAAAGCTCACAGGGAAGAGCCCTCAAGCCATTCGAATTGGCCCTAGAGAATCATGAGTTCTCACACCACCTCAGTCTTTCCGATTTGATCTATTCCAAGAACATCCTCGGTCAGGGAACCCAAGCACCAAGACATCCCGGGCGACGATACGACAGACAAGTGGCCAAGCTCATAGCAGATGACCCGGAGGTAAGAGGCGTGGAATGGCTCAGAGGAACGACCGGCTATGCCAAGGTCAAACTCCCTCTCTCGAGGTCCCTCGCCATCATGAAGAGAGAGGCCTCCGAAAAAGAAGTGGTAAGGATCCAGGACGTGGTCCAAGGAAAGGATAAAAGGAGCGAAGTAGTACTGCCTACCAAGGACACAGAGGGAGGCAGGCACGACAACGAGGAGTAACTGTTCTTACCGCCGCCCTTCGGCCTAGCAACTACGAACAGCCACCTAATACCATCAAGCCCACCGATAGACTAAGACGCAGTGAGAGTCAGGGCGATGAGAAAAGGGACAGCAGGGACGAGAAGTGGTGGATCCAGAACAGACGGAAAGAGACGATGGCTTGGATGAGATGGTGGCGTTGGGTGGTGGATGGATGGGTTGGACTGATTTTTCTTTCTTTCCCTTGTCTTTCGTTTCTGTAATTTCCTTGGAACACATCACAAAGGAGGGGCTGGACGGAAAGCACTGGGGAATCCACTCCGAGCTTGTGGCCAGCGGTCGGGGCGGTGAGGCAGCACAGGTTGTGTAACTGTCAAGATCTAATCAGATCTAATGCAATGACAATTGCAAATCTTCAGTCAGAGTCTTCTGGTATACCCATAACCATGTCGCCCCATCCACCTCCTCTGGCCAGTGCTTGAGGAGGAGAGTACCCAGGTTCTGCAGATATTCACGCGGTATCACCCAGTAAGCAGTACGCACCAATTGGAACACCACACAAGCTTATTCATTCCATCTTCAAACTTTTCAAGCCGCCGTGCACAACTGATCTGTAAAAGCAATTTTCCCATCCATCTAACCTGAACTCCGAGCCAAACACCAAGCAATGTAAACACATCCCCCACCGTCAGCTCACTTCTTCGGCATCCCTTTCCCACCACTTCCCCAAGTCGCCGCGACCAACATCGGAAACGCAATAGTCGCCTCGCACGTAACCTTAACACTCTCCGCATCCGCCTTGATCTTGCCCCAACTAACCGCCTCATCTGGCCTGGCTCCGGCATCACTCCCATCAAATTCCGAGGCCGTATTCACAAACACCGCCCAATCCGCGCCATTCCTGATCAGATTCGCATTGGCGATATGATGTTTGACCAAACCACCACCGAGAATCACCGCACCCGACTTCGGCGCCCGAACAGCCATGGTGTTGATTTTTCTGATGTCCGCGATGATATCACACCGTAGCTGGGCCGGCGAGGACTTAAATGTGTGGAAATACATCATATCGCCAATACTCCCATCTGTGAGCGCGGGACAAAATACGGGGATATTGTTCTTCCATGCCCAGTAGTAGACGCTGCGCTCATCGTTGATCTCTTTTCCTAGCCGGTGGATAATCGTCGACGGAGTCCAAAACACACCCTCCTCCTCCTGCTCCTTCAGCATCGTGTCGAAAATGGGGACGATCCAGTCCTCAAAAGCGCAGTAGTTGCTGTTTGGCACGAGGAGATTGCCAATGCGGTTCATTCCCTTTTGGCGGAGCGTGGCCCCGTCGAGCGAGAATGACCCTAGGTACGTCGGTGCAAGACACTTAATGAAATCCTCCTCTATCCCCCCGGCCGTCGTGACAATTGCCGAGACGTGCTTGTGTTCGACGAGGAAGCGGAGGGTCTCCCGTAGGCCAGAGGAGATGAGGTTCGATGTGTAGCCGAGGAAGATGGTAGCCTTCTCCCCTTCTTCGCCGCGCCAGGATCGCATGTGGTCTATTACCTCTGCCGCCCGCGAGAGGTTCGAGCCCTGGAAACCGATGCGCTCCATCGACGCCAGTAGCTCAGGGACTGTGACATCCCGTCCTTTGTAGTCGTTGAACTCGATACCGCCTACTTCCTTCCAGTCGTCAGGGACCGGGGCGGACTGTTTCAGGACTGCGTCGGCGGCGACCGAGGGGCGTACGGTGTCACTTGCGGTGGAGGAGGGGGTGGCGGCGGCGGCGGCGGCGTCGGAGGAAGCATCGTCAGCGGCAGCAGCGTCGGCGGCGGCGTCGAAAATCACATTCTCCTCTTCACCCTCGGGGATGGAGCTGGAGCTTGGAGGAGGAAAGGCGGTGAGCGTCAAGGTGGAGGTGTCCAGGGTCGTCATGATTGTGATTGGTTTTGGTCAACTCTATTATTTTTTCACTTAGGTGAATGAGTGCTGATCAGGTGAAGGCAACCCCGCCATTGGCACTGCAGGGTGCCCCTCCATGTCACGTGCTGGGCTTTGAGCGAGTGAGAATGTGAGCTAACTTACCTCACGCAATATCACTCGTGACAACGACGACTACATGAATTTCAAGGAAATTGCAGGAAAATAAATTCTCTCGACATATGATCCACAAGTTAATAATGCCGAGCTAACAGGGAGAGCGTTCAGCTAGCCGTGGAGGATATATAAGTAGGTTAATCTACGAATAGTATGGTAACCGTGTGAGTAGCTAGAAGAGGGACTCTGAGTGAAGAGACGCGAACTGCCACTTCAACCATATCCCATATCTAGTACATTACGCAGCAAGGACAGATTTTTCAACAGCTGAAGGAGCCCCGCCGATTGCCTTCAGACGCTCAACCTACGGTTCTTCTGGGTGTTTTCGGTCTATAGTAGTAAGGGTGCGTATGGCCTGGCCATACGTCCGGATAGGAGGTACAGACGGGGAAATCGGCCACTTCAAGGCTGAAAATGATGGCTATCGGGATAAGCTTATACTAATATTGGTCGGGACGATGGAAAGGAATTGATCGAAAGTTCAAATTAGTCACCGTTCAATGGTCTTATTGCTAGAAAAGAAGAAGTTAAAGAAGAGAAGGCACACCTGATCCTCTCACCCCTGTGTTAGCCAGGCCAGTAGTTGGTCTGGCCATCAGAGGTTCTCTAGGGTATTTTGTTAAAAGGAACATATGTACACCGAGCTCCAGAGCCCGTACTCTACATGCAGAGTCACATGCTCGCTTGCTCCCCCCGTTTCCAACGACAACGACAAACATGGCTTCTCCTCCCCGTGTAGCAACTCCTTCGTCCCCGTCGACTACTGCTCGCAGCGCTCCCTCCTCAGCTCCCATCTCTCCCTTTATTATGCCTTCTACCGTGCCTCAACCATCTAAGAACGTATCACTGCCGTCGACAGTATTCGTACCACCCAATACAGGGCATCACACCATGCACATCACAGTGGGGAAATGTATCAGGCCGCCAAGCAAGACCGTCTGTGATTGCGTCAACGGAACTTGCGTCACCGGGCCTAGTCCAAGCGAGGTTCGTTGTGAAGGTTGCGACCATCTGATGTCCCAGCATGAAGCCTATGGTAAGGACGTTGATTCCACTATTTTCCGAAACATGTTGACAGAGCACCAGTTTCTTCACCCTCCGCCGACCCTGCAGAGCCTATCGGTGCTGCTGGCGGAAGGTTGTTCAAACAAGGATTTTCAGTTGGAGACTACACGCTCAGGGAGGAGACGGTGCGTAAGCTCTTCGAGCTTGTCATAGTGCAGAGGGTCGTACACTTGCGGGGAACTCCCACTTGTGGGAAGACAATTCTGTCAAGGCTCTTGTACACGCATGTCGAGGAAGTTCGTCTGGACTATGCCGTCGTCTACGTGACGTGGCAAACGCTCAACAGCCCTTCACGTCGAGGACAAGGCTGGCGGGAGTTTCTTTGCAGCCACTCAATGGGTCGCATACAACTCACGATTTCTGGAACAGAAAGAATGTCATCTACATTATCGACGAGGCTCAGTTAAGCTACAAGGATGAGTTATTCTGGATGGAGTGTATCAAAACACATAAGGGGAGGACGGTCGGTCCACACTTCGCCCTTTTCTCTTCATTCGGGTCCGCGTCCAGAACCGTTCTGGAAATCGAGGGGTCGGCACTGGTAGACTTGATGTTGAAACAATGTGTACCCCTCACACCACAGCCAGACTGGCCCCACGACATCACGCTCTGCTTCACAATCGAGGAGGTCAAGGACCTGTGTCAGAGGATTATTGGGCGACGTGGATTCACCGTTAATGTCGACGTTCTCGAGCATCTTTTCTTGCTGACCAATGGGCACCCCGGGTTGACCGGTGGACTCCTCCTTTCCTTACTCGATACAGAGGTAATTAACCCCTCTACTTTGTAAGTCTTGACGGTATTAATCGGTGTCATTGGCCAGGACATCCGCCGTGTGATTTTGGCAGGCGGGGACGTAACCCTTGCCCACGCATCGAAGCTATTCGACGACGATATGAAGCTGTTCGTCTGTGTGCAAGAACGGGTCGGGCGTTCGCTTCTGGATCCGGAGGTGTTCAAAGCTGAGACAAATTTGGACCTGAGAAACGCACTGAAACGTGCGGTTCAGCAACACGGCATAGCAGCTATCAGGCCGGAGGACGATCCTGGACTCCAGAGGGCATATAAGTCGGGATACCTTCACGCAGCATACGTAGACCCGGACGATAGACGGACACTATATGCATTTCCGAGTCTCCTCCACCATCGGTAAGTAAACATAGTCATCCTTCTCTCCTATGCTTATCATCCTAAATCATACCAATTGATTAGGGCTGTGGAGAGGCTTCTGTTTCCGGACGATGACGACGGCATTCATTTCGTCTCGCTAAAAGACTTATTTTTTGAGGCCATATGCCATTTCTCACCAACTGCACTCACTTCACACAAGCACAAGTTAAACCGAATCCCCGGGGCGACCCAGCCGGAGGCCCCGTACGCGTATGAGTTGTATAGATGTCTTTACCAGGTGACCAGGGGGAAATCCATCGTTCACAGCGAGTATTCGTACACCGTTGCCGGCCGGATCGATTTCTTTCTAAAGGGTAGGAAATGGGGTATTGAAGTCTTGAAGGACGGAGACCGACTGTCGGAACACATCAATCGTCTTGATCCTGAAAACACCTGTGGCTCTTGGAGCATGGTATCGGAACGCATTCTTCTCAATTTTTGCACCTCTTACCCGAAAGTGAAACGAGGTAATAACACTCGTCGCCCCAAAGATTTCCTCCTGCTAATAGCACTTCGTTAGACGTTCCACAGTTATTCCACGTGATCTTCAGCACGGCTTATGACGAGTGCCATGTGTTGGATAGTGCGCATAATGTCGTCGCCGTGTGGTCCCGTTAATGCCTGACCCCACCCCACCCCCTTCCCGCGCGCGCAACGACGTGGATATAGTAGATAGCAGTATGGTCAACGAGCATGGGACGGATAATTGGAATGTCGTGTGAGGGCCCGTAGAGGGTAGATGTAGTTGAGGGTCTCACGACTGATGGGATGGTTGATTATTTCTTTTTTTGTCTCTTCATGTTACAGCTATGTGCTTAGCTTCTTCTTGTTTCCGAGTGGTGAGCTCACTCTTGTGACGACTGAGCAGAGTCTTGTAACTTCAGCTTGTTTATGATACAACAGTCAAATGGATTACCACACCTTACGAGCTTGTCCGCTCAGATCTCTGTGGGCCCTTCTCCACGAAGTCAGTCGGAGACGGCACCTACTTCATCCTGTGCATCGATGACTATACACACAACACCGACGTCTACATATAGTACATACTGAGCAACAAGACGTCCAACACCTGCACCTTGGCTTTTCAACTGTTCCAGGCCAAGGTCGACACAATGGGGCACCACATCAAGAGGTTCCGATGCGACAACGGTACCGGTGAATACAACAACCGGAACTTCCAGAGCATACAGGCGGCGAGAGGTATCCGGTACGAGCCGGCACCACCATACACGCAGCACAAAAACGGCATTGCAGTGCGCTTGGAGTCAACTTTCAAGTATCATGGCCCCAGCCTTCTCGGTGAGAGTACCACTCATGCACTCTCCAATGCCTTTTTATGCTGTGTGTATGATGGTACAGGCTTGTATCAGACGCCACTCGCCAACAGTTTGCTCCGGAAGTTCCGGTTGTTGTATTCGCCGGTACCGTTTTTGCAGCGGAACCTGTGGGTGTTGTACTCCGTGTTGGAGACTCTGGCCGGGAACTGTTGGAACTTGGAAGGCCGAGGTGTAGGTGTCGGATGTCGGTGTTGCGCGTATAGGCGTCGACGTACCTACACGGTGAAGTATCTAGATACCGTCCTCGTGGAGAATAGCCCACAGAGATCAAGGCAGAGGGGGCGGGAGCTGGAGTTTCCGCGGTGCGGAAGTTCGGAGATCGTTCGAAGAGGGGACGCGGTAGAGAGAGAGAGAGGTTTTGAAGGACAGGAGCAGGAGTCTCAATGGTGTAGGTATTGGCTATCTGACTTTACAGAGAAGAGATGCGAAAGAACGGCCCGGGGCAACTTAAGTGGTTTATATAGGTATATAGGAGAGCCCGTAGAGGCATACAACTTCCCGACATAAGTCTTCCATGATCCATCGACCTATGTCGCTCTGCCCTGCTCGAAATGCTTTAGGTTATCGTGATACCTACTTCGATCGCTCGCCTGAAAACATGGCCGGCTCAAATACTTAATTTTACTTCCGAGTTAAGTCATTCGAGGGGTGAGAATTCCTATTACGGAGTTGTTTTTTCCCGCCGTGTTAGTTAGCATACCTACTCCAGATAGAGATGTTCATACGGTATCACTCGTCGGACGAGTTATATTATGTGACTCACAGCATTCACCAAGCACTTTAGGACATTCAAACCTCACAGCGTAGAGCACTACTAACCAGTATGTGCAGGCGAGCATTCACCATCGGTGTTCCGCGAAGCGACGGGCTGATGACTACACAAAACCGCCCGTCGGCGGGCTAATCCAGACGGCCCAAACACTGCAGCGCCAGTACCGGTAGGATGTAGGTACTAGGTGGTGAGCTTATAATGGGCCTAGATATAATGGGCTGTTTTTTTGAAGCGTCCGGGCCACAGTTTACTCTACGCTAGTGGTTAAGTAAGTACTTCACACCTCCACGTTAGTCACAGACCAGCGCTTGATCCACCAGCTAGCTTGCTGGTGGGCTACATATAGGTGGGCAGTGTAGCTGATTCACCGATTAGACCGTAACTAGGGAGACACCGAATGCTATATGTATACCCTCTGTGGGCCTGTGGCCGTATGTTGATTTATCCCGCTAGCTAGCAACGAAGGACACCCAGCTTGACAGCTCGGGATTCGCCGCCGCAATGGAGCCACCACCATCCACGCAGTGGGAGAGTCAAGCGGGTTTCATGCTCGGACGTGACGCGAGTATACCTAGTAGACATCATATGACTGTTTCCGATCGTTATGGGCCGACAATCATAGAAGTAGATATACAGTACTCGTGGTTAGGGACCTACGGTACCCACCGTGCGATCTTGACACAACCACGGGCCCGGTTGGCGTCTATTACCTTAAAAATACCACCAAAGGTACCTAGATACCGGTACCTACCGGTACCTAGCGGTAGACAGTTCGGGGCATGAGCGGCGAGCGCTATCGATACCTAGTTAGCCCGAACACTTTATGTAAGTAAGTACAGATGCCCTCGACTCGAGTGAAACAAAGGACCAGATTCAAAGGATAACTAACGACCAGTATCCGGGAGTTGACCGATGGAATGGAGAGAAGCCTTGATCAGTGCGGCACCGCATTTCGCTCGTCGATTCTCCCAATCGCGCATGATGGCCAGATGCAGCCGCCAACCGGTGACAAGTGGGCTTACTTGATTGGCAGTGCGACACAGTTACACGACAGTTGCCGCGGTGGGGGTTGCGTTGTGGCCGCGTAGCCAGCTGCGATACAGGTAACAGGTTTTTATCCGTGTGGTCCGGTGGAGTGTGTAGTCAGCTACGGGTTTGCAGCAAATTTCGTTTGTCGATGCGAATAGGAACGATGGGAGCCTTCGATCCTCTCTCGTTCCGTACGGAGGGGCGTGGAGGCAGAGGCGGCTTGGTGGCATCGGTGGGCGCCGAAGAGAGGAGGCCTCATTGAGATCTGGTGGGACCCGATCCATGCCCGATTCGGCCATTCAACGTTTATCTGTCTCTGGAGTCTGTTGTCATCTTCTGTCTGCCTGTATCAGATCATCACCGTGTATCATCATCACTACCTTTCAACTTTTTCTCGAATTGATCCCCTTTTTGAGCCTTCACCCGTTTTTGGGTCTCTCAGTGCCGTACAGTCCGAGTTCGTCCCCACCGTATCCGTCGCTCTCGTTGCTCTCCTCCCCTCTCCCCCCACCATTTCGTGTGTGAATGAATACATATCATACCTATAGATACAAAAAAATTGCCACTGTCGCAGGACCGGCCGTTGCTCTGATTCGTTCGTCCCGTTGCCGTACATATGCACAAGTATGATGACGAAACCTTGTCCACGCTCGAGATCGGATTGCCGCCATAAACGAGGAAATACCTGTATACCTGTAGTCAGCAATTTTTTTTCTTCGTCCGGAATAACATGTAGGTGGTGCTTCGCATCGCACTTGTTTCTTGACGATAAGTTAGAGTCTGGGGGTTCCCCACCCCCCTCCCCCGCACGATCCTCGCTACGGCCCGCGCGAAGGACTAAAGTGCGGTTTTGAAGTGACGGGTAACCACTAACGCTCCCTGGTGGATTCCGACTCGAGCTGTTGTTGTATGGTATGATATGAATCTACATGAGGCGGCAGAGGCCGGCGACAGGCAACAAACGGAAGGGGTTCACCGAAATCAAGCGAACAGGTTGTTTCCGCCGATTCTGGTCGAGTTGACCGGCAACTTCGCTCGGCACCTTTCCCGTTGGAGGTGGTCAATCGGCGGTGTTAGCTTGGTCCGTCCCTACTGCACCACATGCCCGCATAAAGACGAATGTTGGGGTCGAGTGGGTGCGTGAAAACCAATTGCAGATGGCCAGTAGGTACGAGCTTTTTGTAATGGAATTCTGCGTACCGCCCGTGATCTACTGACCCCGCCCCGCCCACACTTGGGATGCATTGAAAACGTTGAACCAGCAGGCTGCCTTCCGCTAGATTCTCTGTCCCGCTGCTCGTCTCTCCCTACCAGAAAAACGACCGTTACAACTCCTCCCTCTACCTCTACCTCTACCTCCTCCCCATCCCCCTCCCCCCCTCAGTAAGTTCGACAAAATCCGATCTTACTTCCCTACACCTTCTCCCCTCTACATCACCTAATACGACAACCCCCCACCCCCAGCATTATGACTGTCATCGATGAGGAAACCCCCGAAGGTCGTGGTACCGAGCGTACTACCATGGCCATCAAAATCTCCGAGACCCCGGAGATCCAATCCAATGAATCGGTGGCCCCTTTCGCTCGAGACGACCTGGAGCTGAGAGCTGTGACGACCTTGCTCGCCGGGCTCAATGCCGTGGACCGCCCAGAGGAAACGGCCGACGAGGACCCCCACGACAGCATGAAGTTCCTGCAACGCTTTCAGCTTAGACATCTGATTGCCATTTCATCTCTTCTCGCTCGCGATGGCGAGGTCGTTGCGTGCATCCCCAAGATTACCGGCCCCGGTCTGGAGATATTCATCACCGCTACCGTCTCGGCCCAAGTGCAATCCTCGGGGACCGATACTAACCCTTCGTACTCCAAGCCTACCGTCAAATTGATTTCGGAGGACGCCATCAAGATCAAGGACTGCGATGACGTGTGCACTTTCATCGTCAATAATTGGATCCTCGGATTCGAAGGCCATGCTCGGGTCGTCGCCAAACTCGTGAACGACTGCATCGAGGTTGGAGCCAAGTCCTCGGACGCCTGGAAGAAGTTGAGTCGCTACTGTGTGGCCCAGAGCTCGCCGAAGCTGGCCAAATGCTTTGCCTCCAAGTATCTAAACATCTTCATCGAAGCCCTCCACGAATCGAACCGCGAGCCCGAATCGGCCCTGGTGATCCCGGCCATGAGCTCGAACGACTGCGGCTACATCAAGGTCATGATGAAGAAACTGCGACTGTTCAAGGCCTCCGAGTACCCCGAGTTGACGCAGGCCTTCGAGAAGACCCAGGGTAATTCTCGCCAGATCACCCCAGCGATGCTGCCTGAGATCAGTCTCCTCTTCAGGTGCCTGATGAACGAGCTCTGCAAAGCTTCCCACAAGGTGGCGGCAATGCGTGTGGCCCCGGCTTTGCCTTCGTTGGTTGCATTCACCAAATCTGTTAAAAAGCTCTGGCATCTCCTTCGCTACCTGGAATACCTGGTCACCTACAGCAATTTCTTCAGATGGTTCATCACCGAGCACCTCGAGAAGGCGATCGAGAAGGCGAGCCTCAACCACAAGCCGGAAGCCGGAGATGTCGCCAAGGAGACCGTCAATCTGGAAACCATTGCTAGATTCAGGGAGAAGTTCAGCTCGGCCGTCAGCGAGCCAGCCTGGGAGGTTATGAAGTGGTTGCGTCTCGTCACCTCCAACATCCACAGCGCTTGCATGTTCTACAAGTCTCAGTCTCTGGGCATGACCGCTGGAATCGACCGCAAGATCAAGTTCAAGATCCTGCAGATGTCCCCGCCGTCGGCTGGTATCAAGGACTGGAAGGAAATGGTGAAGAACTTGTACTCGACTGACGAGGAACGAGAGCGCGTGATCAAGTTCCTGGATGGAAAGACCTTTACCAATGACTGGAAGTTCACCGGAGGCATGCACTCTGCCGCGATCCTGTGGTGCCTCAGCACGCTAGCCATCAGCGAAGTGAGCTCTGTACGTATATCAATCCTGCCTTTATGACCTTCGCTGACAATATATCTAGACGACTATCATCCCGCAGTCAGTGATCAGCGAGTTCTACGACGTCCATAATCTGATCGCTCCCTCCCGTCAATGCTGTCCGGTCTGTGTCGCGATCTGCCACGAAGTCAACACCTATGCCGCCATTCCCGTCAACGCCATCGAGACACACTTCAAGATTACGCCCTGCACGTTTCCGCAGGGTCTTCCCGAGGAGGCAAGAGCCAATGTTCTCAAGCACTTCAAAGGTGTCCTCAAGACTGCCCTTCAGGATGTGGCTAAGGGTGTCGAGAGCACTGAGGCGGACCTTCAGGATGTGACCAAAGGTGTCGAGAGCCTTGAGGTGGAGGAAACAAAGGCTGAGTGATTGGCTGGTAATGGTGCACATGTGAATAGTTCGGTTTTCTTCGCCGACTGGTACTTCTTCAGCATTTCCTAGGGACGGAGTCATTTTTCTCTTGATGTTTTTGGTGGCGCTGGTGTCATGTTTTTTTTTTGTTTTTTTTTCTTTCATATGAATTGTAGGTACTTTGTGTCCGCATGGACGAATGGGATGGAGCTTCGGGAGCTGGGATTAACATGTACGTACTGTAGATACGTACGGTTGTGACTTGTAATTGATGGACGAATGAACGGACGAGGTCGCCACTTTGCGTGAATGCTCAGCCGCCACAAAGGACGTCGGCTGCTGACATGATATGATACGGAAGCCAGATTTCAACGGACCGGAGCGGCCGAGGGCATTCCGCAGGTACATGGACCTGCACAGGTCCGAGTGCTCGCTCGTGCAATGCACTAACACTTCCCGAAGCGGAGATCTAAGCTCGACGGGGACAAGCCAGCAAATGCTTACTCCTGTAACCTAGCAAGCTGCTAGCATACATATAAGAAAGCTTGAGAGCGGCAGAGCTCGCTCGCTCGATATCTCACCTCACCGTTCCAGTCCCTCGCTCGCTCAATTTTTTTACCCCGACCCCACACCCCACCACACCGCACCGCACACCGCAAAAATGACGATCCCCGAGCACCCGCTGCCAAACGCCGCGGACATCAAGATGATAGTCTCGGACGTCGACGGTACTGCCTCGCTGCCTCCCCCCGCTCTCTCCTGCTCCCCAACTAACCCGTCGCAGGCACGCTCCTGGACTCGCACCACGCCCTCCCGACGACCTCACCGACGTACCAAGTCCTCCGTCGTATCCGCGCCGAGTTCCCGGACCTGCCGATAATCATCAGCACAGGCAAGCAGCACCGGTCTACATCGGAGCTGCGCTCGCAGCTGCAGCTCGAGGGGGTGTTCCCTTCCTGCCACCTGAATGGCAACGTGCTGTACGATGCTTCGGGTACCGTTATTGCCGAGAGCGGGTTGGACGTTGAGGTTGTGTTGAGGGTGATCAAAGAGATGCGCGAGCTGGGGACGAGTACGTTTGTTTATGATCATGCGACGGTTTACCAGCTGGGATATGCGCGCGGGGAGTGGGGGGTGGGAGGGGAGGAGGGGGATGGGGAGGAGGGCTGTCAATGGGCAAGGATTCTGAGGGGGTATGGTGAGGATGTGGTCTGTGTGCCCCCCCACGAGGTCGACGCCGCGCTGGACAGGATCAGGAACGGAGAGTTGAGGGTCGTCAAGATGGCGGTATGTCAGGAGCCGGAGACGATTGACAGTTTGTCCCCCCGCCCTTCCCTCTCCCCCGCTTACCCCGCCACCACTAACCCCCCCTTCTAGTCCCGAAAACGCACCTCCTGTCGACCTTCCCCCCCACCGCCTTCGCGCCCACCCAAGCACTGCCGTTCTGCTGCGAGCTGATCCCGGCAGCGCACAACAAGGGGACAGCACTGATGCAGTGCCTGAAGTACATGAACGGGCGGGGCTACGACATTGCGCGCGAGAACGTGATCACGTTTGGCGATGGCGAGAACGACGTCAGCATGTTCCGCGTCGCTGGTATGAGTGTGGCTATGGGGAACGCCATGGAAGCGGCCAGGAAGGAGGCGAGGTATCAGACTACTAGTAATGATGATGGCGGCGTGGGGAGGTTTTTGGAGAGGGTTTTTTGGGGGTAGGGGGGCGATACTGGGTAGATGGGTAGATGATAGAACATAGATCTGGTCAGTCGTAGATACCTAGACTACAGTACTAGATAGAGTAGACTCGCATAGACGCGGATTGGGAATGATGGAGTATTTGGGTAGACGGTTTCAACGCGTACGGCTTCATACCGCACATGTGCTATTGTGTCGTGTCGAATCTCGATTGCAGGAGCGTGGGTGTAGGTAAGCGCGCGGCGACGGACGGTGGTGACACGATGGATATTGTATATGGACAGGACAGGACGCAGGCACCGGGTTTGATGGACAGAAACGGCGACAGATCGGTATCACAGTATCACGGTGATATAACAGGGTGTTGTGGCATCACAACACACCACTCCAACCACCACTTTTCACGAGCACAAGTCAAAGTCAAAGTCAATCGGAATCATCATCAATTCACCATCTACCTCTCCCACTCCACCCGGGCACATCCTCATCCCCATCCACAACCACGCACAACACCTCGGTCCTAGAAGCAACCTTTCCACACATGTCAGCGCCAACTCTGGACAAATTTCAAGACAAAGACAGCAGTAAGAGTATGGTAAGAATGGAAGATCAGAAGAGTTTATAAGGTAGCGGTGGTTTTTCATCAGCGCCGCACACCCGCAGAAAGCGAGTGCGCGACTAAAGCCAAATGCCTGCGAATCATCATCGAGGTATGGGGGGCATATTTTCGGTGTTCGGTGCTTGGTGCTTGGTGTTGAAGAGGGGGGGAGAAACGTACCTGGTGTTTTCCGTGCGCGGGTGGAAGAGATGCGGTTGATGGGATGGTGAGATGGTTGGGTTGGTGAGGAAGGCGGGAGGGACGGGAGGGACGGGGGTTTTGTGTGAGCTGTCGGCGAAAAGTTTTTTTTTTTTGGTTTGGGAGGGAGGGGCTTGGCGGTGGGGTGGGTTAGGGGAGGGAGGGCAGGGTGGGGGGGGAGGCACGTGATATTTTGGGTTTCGTTTTCGTTGTCTAGGCGACGGGCGGATGGTTAGCAGGTGGCGCTGGTATCAAACACGACAAACACGACAAAAACGACGAGAGCCGCGTACGTGCACGCGGACATGGACGCGGACGTGGAAACGGGAGGGCACAGAGAGCACAGAGAGCACAGAGAGCACAGAGATGTCCGAAGCGGAGATGCGCCCGGCCGATCAGGAGGCGGCAGGCGGGAGGTTGGAATGTTCCCCCTCCCCTCCCCCCTGTGTCGCACTGTCGCACTGTCGCGGGTGGAGTGGTGTAGAGTGGTGTTTCGAACTTTCGATACTCTAGATAGATAAGGCATGGCATGCACCGAGCGCTCGTCGCTCGTCGCTCGAGGACGGGTCGGGTCTCTGCCGCCGCCGTCTTCTCCATCGCCATCGCCGTCGCCGCATCCGGCGTTTCTCTGTACTCTATGCAGAGCATCTCCGCATTCCCTCCAGCACCAACAGAGCCCAAACAAAGACGTCACACCTCTTCCGTCCATGCCCTGCCCCCCGTCCCCCCCCGCCCCCCCGCCGCACCCCCGTCCATCCGATCTTTTGCTTCAGGTCAGGACCGGGCGCCCGCGCCCGCGCCCCCCCCCCCCAGCGCCGCGCCGCGTCGCGTCGTGTCGGGCGGCGGGAACTAAGGCAGAGTCCGGCCCCCGGGGTGGGTGCGGTGGGATGGGGTGCATCGGGGTCTGTGCGTAAGCAGGTACGCAGGCACAGGCACACACGCACCGCACGCACCGCACGGATGGTGGGTAAACCATGGTGGGTTGGGTTGGCGTCTGCAGCTTCATCATGATCATCCATCGTACCTACCGTGCGGGCGAGGGATGTTGGGGCAAGAAACTTGGAACTGGAACTGGGAGGGCCGGGGAGGGGAGGGGAGGGCTTGGTTGAGATGATCTCGGGGTTGTCGTATGAGGAGGAGGTGGATGAGGTGGTGGTGAGGAACGGGCGCTGGGATGGTGCGTGCTGTTTGGGAGGTGAGGTCGGGTCTGGTCAGGCTCTGCAAGGGATATCGCTAGAGAGTACTGAGATGGAAGAGGCCGAGTGTACTAGGTAATAGTTGAGTGGGGCTGTGAATCCGGTGGGCGATTTCATGCTCAGACGCAGTGGTGATGATGGTGAGACTGGCCTTGTGCTGAAGGATCCGGGGCATCTAGCGATCTCTCCGGCCCAGTCAGAATCAGGCCTCAGAAGAACAGGCAGACTTCGGACGAAAGAACACTCGATCCGGATGCGTCTTCGACTCGTTGCCGGCGAGATGCCACAGATGCCACGAGTGAGCAGACATGATGGTGTGTTTCTAGCCTGTCTGTCCCCTCCCCCTCAGATTTAGTGCGACCCAGCGACATCCACGTTTTCCGGGTAGGGCGACCGACGCACCACTGGTCGGGATGTCGGTTGTCGTCGTGAGACTGATTGGGACGTGAAGGGTTTCAAGCACGGAGCAGAAAGGACCACTCTCAAACGGCATCGCCGAGTCTGAGGTTCGAACAGAGCTCGAGCTCGAGCTCGAAGCAAGTGCATGGGCTGTGCTCTCTGATCGCCTCGGGATCTTCGCCGTTGCTGCCGTAGACACGCCGCTAACTAACAGTCGACGTGCGCACTCACCACCACCACCGCCACTGTCGCTCCACGGATTCGTCAGGCCTCTCTGACGGCGAGTAGAATACCGTAGTAGTTGAGCATCAATCGCGACCCAGAGCGCTGACTCGGCGCTACGGACTGTTCGTTCGTCATTCGCGTGGGTGCACTTGTGGTACGGCTGCACGTCTTACTCGACTACTGCACCTGGCAAGGACTTCATTCGCCTGAGACGAGCACTCGCCCAGTCTTGTCCGGATCCGCGTGTTTCGTGCTACGCTGAGAACTCTCGCCAATAACAACCAGCCGCTCTGCTCCCCATCGCCCTCCTCCTGCTGCAACGATCCTCCCCCCCCCAGATCTGTCCCAACCACTCGCTCAACCCATCATCAAACCCGCCGCTGCCAACGCCCTCCATCCAGCTCGCCCCTCGCTCGCCCCTTCATCCCCCCAACTCGCGATCGACTCGGTCTGACCCTGACATCCCGAGAGAGAATCACCACCCCCGCCGGAAATGCGCTGTGTGTGACGGGCGCATTCTCCACCCTCCTTTGTTTGGTTTCGCGGAAAGAGTAAGAGAGAGAGAGAGAGAGTGAGGGGAATTTTGTTTTTCGCGACCGCGACTCTGCACCGCACCGCACCGCTCTCTGCAGCCACCTACTTCCTATCTTCCATACATACCAATCCGCTCCCAACACAACATTCATTCGCAACACCGAATCCACCACAACCCACCAACGAAGCAGCCCTTCTCTCCCTCCCGCAGCCACCACCACCACATCCACCGCATCCACATCCACTGCCAACCACACACACCATTCTCCGCCATTCATCCACACAACACCCCATACCCTCACCTCATCCTCTCTCCCTTTTGACACGACGACACGATCTAAAAAAAATACATCCGAATAGCTCCCCGACAGCGAACTTCTCCTGCAAGTTCCGTCGAGTGACTAAATCCAATCACATACCCTCCCGCAGTTCCAAATACTTCTGGAGAAGAAAAAAAGAAAAGAAGAGAGAAAAAGGCCAACTACTTCCTGCTCGACTGCTGTCCTGTCACTGATTGCTACCTGACGCGCCACGATTTTATTTTTTCCTTCTCCATCTTGACGTCTTCTCCTTCTTCGGCTTCTTCTGCTTCTTCTGCTTCATATTCGGCCTCGGATCGAACTCGCGCGCATTGCTGGTATTAACGACGAAACGAAAAAAACAACTTCGAAAAATTCCCCCCGATAACGAATCTCTTCTTCTCGCTGTACTATTAGAACGAAGACCTACGAATCTTGAAACGACCCACAACTTAACCTTACATTCTCCAGCTCGACCAACCCCCCTCTCTTATCCCATCTACGATTGTGCATACCATTCCCACATTGGCTACAGCTACCGTTCTCTAATCGCCAGCTCACACGTCGCCGCTCAACGCTGTAACGGATCGCTGGGGGAATCGCCCATTCCGCCCACCCCACGCACACACCCACATATCCACACACCAGCTACCCCCCCAACCCACGCGAAAATCAACACGACACAGGTAGCACTCTGGACAGCATGGCAAGCCGCTTGGATATAGCGGTGCAGGCGCTCCATCGTCGTGCAGACACAGTCGAATGCTGGGACGATGACCCAGACTTCGCCGAACTAGACCAGATCCAGCATCCCCCGGCCACTGCTACGACACCTACGACAACGACGGCGCCGGCGCGCGCAGGTGCAGACTACTATCGCCGTGAGCCTTCCTCCGCCGTCTCGAGTCGGAGATCCACCATCACATCCGCCTACGACCTTGACGCCCTCGAGGTTGCCGACCGCGAACACCAAATTCCTTTCGACGGCTCGCCCGCCGCTGCGATCAAGTCCGCTCAGTCCGCGGGTATCCCCATACCCGAAAACGTTCCCTTATCGGCCCTCGTTGGCGGCACCATCAAACGGTTAGGACCCAGCACCAGAGCAAGGAAGGTCACGATGCACGACGACTGGGGCGAAGATCTGGAGTTCCCCTCCATGGGAGATGCCTTCACCGTCAAGACGAAGGAATTTCCACAGTCGCTACATCACATGCCGAGCAAAGGCAAAGGCATCCGGAATATTTCGCCGTCGAGGGTGAATCTCTTGCCCGTGACGAATGCAAGCGAACAACTCAACAAGTTCCGAGACATGCCTGAGGATGAGATGTTTTTCGGTGAGTGCGAACAGCTCCCGTCACTCAAAGCATTTGCGGCAGGGAGAACACCGATGCAGGGAAGAGGAGCCAACATGTCGCTGCCGACACCGCCGTTATCGGAATCTGCATTCAGGCCTTCGCCTACGTTTGCAGACGATGATTTCGACGCCGATTTCGAATTTCCTGCCGATGCACCATTACAACTTGGAGGTTTGAGGGGGATGGAAAGATCCCGACCGATAGATTTTCATGCGATAGACATGGGATTCGAGGATTGGGGGGATGGGGACAGTGGATTGGGCTCCAGCTATGCGGGCACCCGGGGTGGCGCCGATCATGGAGCACATTCGGTTGTTTCGCCCAGCATCTCAGCTATGACCATGGAGAGCGAGGATGACATGTACGGTTTGGAATTACCCGGCGGTATGCTTCCCGATTTCCACAGGGCTCTCGAACGACGCCGGCGGGCGGCCGCGGCGGAAGAATCGGACCTGGCTCCAGCCCCGATAAACCACCATTTCCACGCTCAGAAGGACTTCGACGACCCGGCGAGCGAGGAGGAGTTTTTCGAGGGAATTGAAATTGGCGATGTCTTTGATAGCAAGAAGCTATCGCTGAACGGCAATGTGAGACAAAAACAACAACCTCGGAAACCGAGTCCTATCAGGCGAACTGCCATGAGTCTGACTTTTACAACGAAGCCACTTACCCCACAGTCATCCGCCGGAAGACTCAACAGGCTTACGCAAGGCCATCCCACGCTCCTACCGTCGGCACCCCTCGAACCTGTCGCCGAGCGGGAAAACCAGCCGAGCACGGTCAAGCGGATTCCCCGTAATAACCGTTGGGGAAGCGCGGATTACAGGTGGAATAGTAGCGAACAGACACCCCCTCCACCGCCGATACCCAGAACTGACAGGACGAGAACACTGGCAACGGATGGGCGGAGACCTCTGTCGACAAAGTCCACACGGAATCTGCGCGGCGACAATGCTCCACCACCAACCACTACTCACGCTCAGTTGCTGAGAGCGAAACGCTCGATGCCTAACATACAGGACAGTCCGAATTCGCAGAAGGGTTCACGACCGCAGAGCCGTGCATCGAATGGGCGACCACCCAGTCGTAGCTCTAGCGGCCGACCTCCTAGCAGCGGCAACGCCTCGACAAGACCGACAAGTAGCGGCACTAGACCTCCTCCTCCTCCTCCTCCCAGCAGCGCTACCAGACCGACGAGTACCGGTACCCGACCCACGAACAATGGTTCCCGACCGACGAGTACTGGCGCACGACCTCCCAACGCAAACGTGCGACCACCATCACGGAGTAGTAATGGGCGTCCCCCTAGTAGGAATGATCGTACCAAAACCGCCAATGCTCCTGCGGCTAGACATCCTGCTCCGTTCATGTGTGGTGGCAGTTCGACCAAGAGTAGCCATCACGTCGCCGCGAAGACCTCGAACAAGAGTCTCGATAGCCGTGGGGAAGGCAGCACTACCGATCGACGACCCAATTCTCGCCTGCAGAACCGCAATATTACTCCTCGTCACTCGCCCAGCTCCTCTGGGGCCAGCAATACGACCGCCAAAAGGATAACACCCGCGATCGCACCAGAGCAACTACGGCGGGAGGCGGCGACCATCGGAACACTCACTCAGCCGACGAGAAAACGCAATTTCGGAGACGGAACCGAGCTCGAGACTTTCGATGATTTACCTACCAACGCAAAGGTTGAGAATACATTCACCAAGGCTCCTGCCGCGAGAGGAGTGGTGAAAGCTCGACCAAAGAGCATACCGACTCGCGAGGCCGAGAGCCCAAGGAAGAAGAAGCAGCAACACGAAACTACTCCTCGACAGGACGATGTTCCGAGGTTCGCACGGGACACTACCGGTATGTTTTTCACGAGCCCCATCTCTCATCACGTGCACATCTAACGTCCATCAGCATCAAGAAAAGCACGAGAAATCACCCAGCAGAGACTCGGCATGGGCACGCCTGTACCCCAGACGCCCAATGCCGACCGTTGGCGATCAAAGATTGCGGCACGAAGTCAGGCACCGTCTCGCGTCCTTCCAAAGAAGACGTTGCAGCACAAGCCTCATCTCATCAAGCCGATGGGCAATATCACTACTCTTCCTAAAGGTTCGTCTCCACCCTCGGTTTCACGAGCTATCACTCGACTCATTTCCCATACACTGTATCGGAGACAATGGCTAACCTCGCTTCGTCCGAAACAGAGAACGCTGCCAACGGGATGGTTTACAATCCACGCACGTTTCGGTGGGAAGGAAATGACAAGGACCTCCGGGCGTTCGAGGTGCCCGATAGCCGTACGCCGCCTCGCCCGGCATTAATCACCAAAGTCAATCAGTCTGGTAGCAAGATGGGGATTCAAGTTGTCGGTGGCATGGTCTTCGATCCCAGTCGTATGTGCTGGTTGAAAGTGGACGAGGATCCGGACGACGAGGATGATCCTTTCGAGGGACTGGATGACTTGCCCGAGGACATCATGTCTGTCGACGGTCAATCGGTTGCCGGCGCGCAGACAACCAGTAACTCGGTAGTCATGAGTGGCGTCGGGGGTGCCTTCGGTGGAGCGGCAAGGATCAGCGGTGGCTTTGGGGAGTTTGTCGTCGGAGAGGAGTTCGATGTGGGTCCGGAATTCGTGCGCCGGCAACGCGAGGAGGAGGACAGGTGGAGGAAGACGACGGATGGGTGGATTCAGCCGTCGGCCGACCTCACGACCAGAGAGAACCGATACTATTGGCGGGAGCTGCTGGCCGAATCCCGGTAGCAGTATCGATGGAACTCTGAAACATTTCCTTGATTATCGGGTGTTTCAAATCTAATATGGACGACGAACACATGGTATGCATTTTTGGACCGGTCCGATGGATGCGCAACACGGGAGCATGGAGGAAGGAGAGGGACTGGTGTTCTTTGCTGGCGCACGCTGCTTTGCTTATTTTCCATTTCCGCACTTTGTGGTTTTTCTTTGCGGATGGATCGAATCTGGACGTCTTTGCTGGCTGACTTTTTTTATCTGTTTTATCGTGTCTGGGTTGGGTGTTTTCTACACTCCCTCGTCGTTTATTTTTTTTGCTTACTTTGTTTTGTCGTTGTTGGTGTTGAATGTAATTGTATACTATTGATTGATACCCATACCCATACCCATTCTTCTTGTTCTTGTTCTTCTTCTTCTCCTTCACCTTCCACCTCTACGGAACCCTGGTTTCCTTACTATATCTGATACTCCTACCTACCTTCCCTCCCTTACATCATTACCTCTCCTACTCTTACCTACTATATCTGACACTTCGCCAACCCCTGAGGCCGTGTTGCGCGGTGTTTTTTTTTCCCCAGCCACGCACTCGGGCGAGGGGGCGCGGATCTATTACAATTTCATTTCTTGTTTTTTTTCTTCTTCTTTTTTCTCTTTTTCTTTTTTCGGTCTTTCTTATTTTGGTTTTGGTTTTTAGGGCTGTGTTGCGCTACCATGAAGGACTGGGCTGGGATGTCACTGGGATGAGGGGCGTTTTTTTCTTTTTCTTTTTCTTTCCTAATACCGTTTTTCTTTTCGATTTGAGGGAGATCTTCCCGTCCTATCCGTGCTGTTCCGAAACGTTGCCGGGAGGGGGGGAAGGGGGGGGGGGGGGGGGGGGGGTAGGTTAGGATGCGCTGCGATTGCGCTGTTATGTTTTTGATGCTTGATGCGTTAGTTAACGTTAGGATTTATGTAGCTTTGGGTTTCTGTGTTCTGTTTTTGTCTGGGTTTTGTTGGGTTTGGTTTGGATTCGGTTGGCTGGTTGGCATGGACGGCATGGACGGTTTTGATAATGGCTGGCGGACGGTGATGTGATGTGGAGGCGGGTTGGGTGGGTTGGGGGGTAAGTGGATGTGGGATGGAAGGGATGGGAGGAGTGGAATTATATGCTATGCTGTGCTATGCTGTGCTGTAGCCTGTGCTCTTTGGACTTGGACTTGGACGTGGTATTTCGCCTTGGCTGTAATGGCTGTAATGGCTACATGGCTGCGATGGCTGTGAACATGATGTGCTCGATGTATGCGAACTCGTTTTTTTCTCTTCGACGCAAGACAGGACGGGTTGGGAAGGTTTGGGAACTTACGAAGGGTGGATGGACGGAGGAGGGAGCGCCGAGGGAGTGCCGAGGTGCATGGACTGTCGAGAGCTACATAACTAGGCGGAAGCGGGGTGGTGGTTTGCTTTTTCCGCACAGGTTATCACTGGGGATGTAGGTATGTGGTCCGGCTTTTCGGGAGTTGCGGCGGGATCCGCACCGATGAGCGGGACGGGATCTTTGGTAGACCTCTTCTCCAGCGGTGGAATCGTCATGGGCAACGCGGAAACGACCACTCTGGCCGTAGCGAGGAGTAGAGTCACTACGGTGGTGGCCAGGCGTGGAGTAGGAGGATGCTCAGATCCATGGTCTCCATCTCTCTGCTAGATATGGTACCATACCGCGGGCCGAAAGTAGAACCCGGCCCTGGCGGTGCCGAGAGCAGTGTAAGGAGACAGCCGAGGGAGGGGGGGAGGGGGAGGTATCTTCCAAACGTCATCACGAGGGCCAGCCTGCCAGGAGCAGGGACTACGGACGATGTTCTCCCTCAGGCTAGGAATGGTGATAAGGCGAGTGGTGCTGTGCGGGTCAGGTGGAGGGGCCGGGGGACGAAGAGGACGACATCCTTGCGAACAATCTCCCACGTTTCTGTCTGGAAACGTGGATGCTACAGCCACGCAAAAGGGACGTCTGGCGGACGGATAGCAGGGGGGACACGCGGCAGAAGACGACGAGACCCGCCCAACCCGGTGCGCATCAATGGCAATGGAAGTTAACTGCAGGTACATATGTGCGGCCTGGAGCCCGAGACGGCACGACACGGCCTCAAGGTTCAACAAAAACCGAGGAATTCGGCTTGATTGGTGGATGCCGCGCTCGGGAGTCGGAATAGGTGGTGTGCCGAAGATCGCTCAGCATGGACTGCGGGGCTGCGGTTCCGCTTCGTACTCCTTGGGGGTCGGGGTGGACTGTTTCGGGCGAACGAGCTTCGGACCGGAATAGCACGGCCGCGTAGTCCCCCCACAGCCACAGCCATAGCCATAGCCCGGACAGCATTGTATTACGTTGCCGCCTCGTTGCCGCCCCACCCCGCCTCACCTCACCGGGACGTGCTCGGACTGCAGCCGGACAGCAGACCGACTCTCGGCCTGCGTGCCGGGCAGTCGAGTGACCGAGTTCCAGGATCAGCCTTGTTACTACTAGTATGAGTATGAGTAGTATCACTCGGCCCGCGAGTATTCGTGTCGTCCGCAGGAAGACAGCCCTGGCTACAGCGCTACGCAGTTGTTATCCTGGGCTTTCACTTGCGCCCCTCCACGCCAGGGTGCGTGGAGGGGGCGGGACGTTGACTGCGCCTCGCCTCGGACGGCGACGGCTGCGGATGCACCGGGGACTCGGGGAGGGAAAAAAACGTCGCACACGCGGCCCATATACTGGACTGAGCATTCCGTAAGCACTGAGGGCAGTTCCCGTCAATCGTCAGTCGTCATTCTGCTATCGTCCGGTAAGCTTGCTGCCTGCGGGTATGTACCTAGGTAGCGAGGTCGACCGCTCGTCCAGCTTAACCACAACCCGGAAGGTGAGGGGCTATTGCCAGTAGTTGTGTGCTAGGGGAGGTGGGGGGCACTGGTTTTCTGACGGTCGCAACTCTGGAGTCTGCATCGCCGCCGTCGCCGTGCCATGATACGGCTCATCGAAACTCGAAAGCTGGCGTCCTCGAAATAGAGACCAAGACCAAGACTGGGTCCGGATTTTATAACAGCTGGACGCACGGGCATACATGGTAGTGCCGGCTCTACTGCGCACGATAGGTGAAGATTGGCAATCACCGCGATCACTCGACTAGGAGTGATACATTATGATGCTGAACTTCCAAACGGATCACCGTTTCTTCGCTGCATGCGAAATATATTGAAGGTCTCTCTCTCTCTCTCTGTCTCTCAAGCGAATCACCGAGAAGCTTAAAGGATGGGCCGTATGTGACGATAACTTGTTCTCTCGACTCACTGAAAAGGAATCCGAGTAACTCCGCCGATCGAAGGAGGTCGCTCGGAAAACACTTACATGTATAAACTGGTATCACTGTATGTAGAGGATATACCGGAACGTAAAAGCCACGCCCAGGCGCCGAAAAAGCTGAGGAGCCTAGAAGTGTCTTCCCCTAGTAGGATATATAAAAAAGGCATTAGCCTAGTGCCTAGGGGGCACATTCACCATCGGACATCATAGTTCCAGCCTTCCAGGCGCGCGATGTCCCCTCACATACGGTGGTTTAACTCCTGAGATACCAACCATTGAGACCTTTTGACCTGATGATGGAATACTTATTTGACACGCGGGCCATGTATAGCTGATCTTTCAGTGCGGTATGTACCCAGCCCTGCATTCGGTGCATAGATTTCCGAGGCTCCGTAGAACCGTCCCCGGGAGGCTGTGACATCTTCCCGCCGTTCGCCTGCCAACAAGACTGAAGAATAACAGAAGCGAGCCTTACAGTTGCGTAAGGTGATATATATGCCTCCAGGGCGCTTATGGACGTAATGGATGCGGGGCGGATACTGGTATGTAGAGTAGGCACTTGGGTAGCTACACTTAGTTAGGTATCGCAGAGCTCCGTTGGAAATCATCTCTCCGCAACCGAAATCGTGAATTTCGATGCGTCCGCGCCTTGTGGAGTAAGTGCTCATTTACTGATGCACCGTATTTCATCGGCCGGGATAATCCGTCAACGCAAACGTACTGGTAGCAAATACCCCCATCGGGATCGTCGGGGTCGTCGGGTGGTGGAGTACGAGTGATGTCGCATGCACACATCCGCGCAGAACGGAAACAGGAAAGCAGGAAAAACTACCGACGCTTGGCGCCCCCCCATGGGAATGATCACGTACATAGAGGTCCGTCTCGGGTCGGTTGTGGCTCGGCAGACAGCAGGGGGTTGTAGCGTCGACTACGGGAGGGATCGTCCACTTTCTTGGGAAACTACCCGGGCCGCACCGCTGCGTGGCGCGGTGCGGCGTGGCGTGGGGTAGACGAGCCCGCCGAGCTCGAGCGCACATACACACGATCGCGGATGACTCGGCGCGTGCTCCGGTGCACCTTCCATGCGAAGAGCTATTGTGCGTACGCACTGATTCGTCGGCATGGGTTGCTGGATCCGCCCTGCTTTCCGTTCTTCACGGGTTCCTGGGGTTTCGTGGTTGCGGTCAGCTTTAGATCTGCCAACGGGGATTCCCACCGCCTTCAATTTTAACGCCTTTCCGTGCCTTTCTTTGCTCTCCCGGTGGTTTGCTGCTACTTCCTACTAGATACGCACGCAGCAAGAGCGGAAGTATTGTATTATGCACAAGCGATCACTCCGGGGCCGGGAGCCTGTCGAGTGAGTAATTGTGACTAGTCACGCTTCCAGCCCCCCCTCCACCCCCAACCATGGGCCAAGGCGCCGTATAGAGTGTTGCCAATCGCTGCGCACCCGTCGGTGAGCCGTGAGCATCCACCGCACACACACACGCATCTACCATACACGTACATGTACGCACGCCGAGCCGAGTGTAGCTCCGAGCGGCGAGCTCGGCGTAGCATCCCCCACCACGACGAACAGCGGAGTTCTGCCGGCGCATGCACGTACTGCGTACCTGCGGTGTCGGGAAAGCTACGGGATAACTACGGTACTCTAGGTACATACCGTACCCAGGTAGGTAGGCAGGGCGGTCTTGGCCGACCCACACCGCCACCGCCACGGCCAGCTGTCGCTCGCTGCCGCTGTGGTGTGCGCTGTCGCCTCATCCTCGGGTCGGGTCGGTCCCGCGACTGCCGTACCTACTTCTTACTCTGCCTACTACTGCAGCTCGCCGGGCCCCTTAGGTAATGCCGAGCGCTGGTGTAACTACAGTATGGACATATGCCTACCCAAGCATGTAAGGATGTGCATAAATAACCAGCTCAGCTCTCCGACGCCTTGTGCATAACGTCCGGAGTAACTACTCGGTAGTGCGATGCAGCTACTCTAGATGGCTACTAGATTCGTATAGTAGATGATCACGGCTACATCCCTCGTCCTCATCGTCCCCGTTCCCGTCCCCGTCCCCGTCCCCGTCCCCGTCCCCGTCCTCGTCCTCGTTCCCGTCCCACGGCGTGACTTGAACTTCCCTCCCCCCACCTCCCCTCCCCCAATAGGCCGTGTACATATCATACTCTCTGCACAGCGCGGGGGGCTGGGGGTAGAGTAACTACTCGAACGCAGAACCTTCACGAGCACGAGCACGAGCACAAGCACGGCCCAGATTCGGACATGGCCGAATCCGGTGGGGTGGTAGCACATACCGAAGTACCTACCCAAGTACCCAGGTATGATACTTACTCGTAGATCATACGGCTCAGCACCGCAGTCCATCTGTTTATATTTTTTCCTTCTCTTTTTCTTCTCTTTCTCTTCCTTTTTTCCTTTCCTTCTTTCCTTTTTCTTCCTCCTCCTAAATTTATGTAGGTAGATCCTCGTGGAGCAGATGGCGGCCGTAGCCGTGGTTGCTTTTTTGCCACTGCTGCGGAGAGGGAGAAAAGAAAAGAGAAGAAAAACAGAAAAGGAAAAAGAAAAGAAAAACAGAAAAGGAAAAAGAAAAGAAAAGCATGAGGAAGAAAAGCAAGAGGAAGAGGAAGAAACACTACTCTTCACGGCGCTGGGAAGGAGGGGGGGGAGGGGGGGACCGGATGGGATCTGGAAATCCACCAACATCCACATCAACGCTCACGGCGCAAGAGGGCAAGCAAGCAGGCAAGCAAGCGCACGCACGGTGAAAAAGTCTATCCCACGTCTACATACATCCACATCCACATCCACATCCACATTGCATCCACATCTATCCACATCCCCTCGGTGCGTTGCATGCATACCTCCCCACCCACCCACCTCCCCACCTCACCACGTACCCACTACATACCCACCTACACACACGGCAGCACAGTTTCGCGCCGGTGGAGTATCTTCACGAGCCGCAAGTCGCTCCTCCATCTCCAGAGTCACGAAGGCATGGATGGGATGGGGGTGGGATGGGGGTCGCCCGCGCGGTGTGTGGGGTTATTTTGCGGGGTACTGCGGGTGTCGTGAAAATCGCGCCATGCAGGGGCGACGGGGCGACGGGGCGTGCGTGTGTGGCGGGCGAACGGCGCGCGCGCGGGGCGTGGGCGTGGGTTTGGGCGTAGGAGTGGGAGGGAGTGGGCGTGGGGCGGAAGGGAAGGGAAGGGAAGGGAAGAAGGGAAGGGGTGAGAGAACGTGATCAGACGTATACCATACATACCCAGAACCGTACATAATACGGTAGGTAGAGTATGTAGAGTCTGCGCCTACCCCCCACCCACCACCCACCCCCCATCGGGAGGTTGGATTGGCGCCCGCGGGATGTACCCGTACATAGACTCGACCCATCCGCTCTGCTCTGCTCTGCCTCCCACCACCGGGGCGCAAACAGCGGTTGCTTGCTTGGGGGGCAACAACACCGGGAATCCGCGGGAGTGGATTCCGGGCGGCCGGCCGGGGGATTCCCGCCACGCACCCACGCAGAACGCAGCACGCAGAACGCAGAACGCAGCCACAGCGCGAAAGCGAGGCGGAAAAAAAAACGGACGGCCGGCGTGGGATGCGGAATATCGGACGAGACCACGGCGTAGCTATAGTAAGTAACCAAGAAGGTGGCGGCCCGCGGGAACCCGCTTGTGTACTGTCTGTGGCTGCGGCTGCGCCGTCCGACGTCCGAATCCGACGACGACGATCGTGAGTACATACATACTTGGGACTCGGGAGATTTCTGCTGCTTTTACATACTTCTTCCTTTTTTTGCTTCCTTTTTTTCGTTCGCTCGCGGGAAACGGGAGCGTGAGCGAGAGAGAGATACCGTAGGTACCGTACCCAAAGGGATAGGTATAAGTCGCGGAGCTGGTTACCTATCGCTCTCCTCACCTCGCTCGCTCGCCTCATCCGCAAGCAAGCAAGCACATCACCCCACGTCTCTGACCCGGAGATATAGTATATATAGTATAGGCAGTATAGTATATATTATCGACACCGCACAGGCACCCGGTACCGACCGAGCGAGGGACCTCCCACGCCCACGCCCACGCCCACGCCCACGCCCACGCCCACGCCCACGCCCACGCCCACGCCCACGCCCGCGCCCACGCCCACGCCCGCGCCGGTGGTTTACGGTTTGCGGATGGATTACGGTTGCGTGCTCGTGCCCGTGCTCCTCGCGCGCATAGGTACTATAGATATACGGTACATATATGGCAGTTGCGGTGATCGGGAGGGTTGTTTGGATGGTGGATGGTGGGGTGGGGTTGTTTTGGTTGGATGGATGCGTGGATGCGTGGATGCGTGGATGCGTGGATGCGTGGATGCGTGGATGCGTGGAGGGATGCCATGGGGGCCGTCGATTGTGGCCGATATATTGCGACGCCACCTCCACGTCTCTCGCTCGCCTCTCGCCTCTCGCCTCTCGCCTTTCGGAGCTTTGGTGCTTGGGCGTTTTGGCGTTTCGTTTACCTTATAATAGTTATACTAGTATCAACAAATCTAGTGGTTATATATGCTGGTATATGCTAGTAGTTATGCTAGGAGAGCGTGCTAGGAGAGCATGCAAGTGTTGTTTCTCTGGGGTTGGTGGGAATTAGATGCCATTCCCACACACACACATTTTCATGATACAGACTTGACACACACACTTGGCATGAGCCCTGTAGAATATAGAGTATCTAGAGTAGGCAGAGGACAGTTAACCAGTAGAGTAGTTAAAGTAGAGTAGAGCGGTGTATGCAGAATAGTTACAGAATATGTAGAGTATCTAGAGTAAACTGCAGCCAATAAAACAGTCTACATACATACAGACGTCCAGCATCTATCTACCAGCATCTATCTACCGGTATCTGCTTGCTGCTGCTTACTGCTGCTGCCATAAACGTCCCCCACGTTTTCCGACCGTCGATAGCTATGGATGATATGTATGTACTCTATCGATTTCCATGCACGCACGCAAGCAAGCAGGTAAGTAAGCACCATCCGACAGGGAGAGGATTGCCGACCGCCCCGCCCCGATGGGGCCTATCTGCTTATCGTGATGGATTGATGGATTGATGGATTGATGGATTGGATTGATGGATTGATGGATTGATGGATTGATGGATTGATGGATTGATGGATTGATGGATTGATGGATTGATGGATTGATGGTGGTGGATGGATGGGTTGACGCGACCGATGGGGGGGCGATGGGATTGGTTGGTGGATAGATGGTGGTGGTGGTGGTGGTGGATAGATGATGGGTGGTGGATAGATGGATGGATGGAGTGCACAACGTGCGACATAACCAGATATCTACTCTAACTACTCTAACTATCAGTCGCCAGTGCTGAGTGCGTCCTCGGGTCCTCGAATCCACTCGGCTCCACGCGGCGGAGGAGGGAGCGAGCGAGCGAGCGACTTCCACGGGGGGCATGTTGGTAGAATCTACATAGAGTAGGTACCGTAGGCCGTAGATGATGTTTAGCAGTTGAAGCTGCCGATGCTATTACTATTAATAGTCGCGGCCGTCGAGCAACTTGAGACTTGAGTAAGAATGGGTAAGTAGACTGTAGGCCATGGACACATTGGCATTGGGCATTGGCATTAGCATTGTTGCAGCAAAGCAGACTGAATTGGCACTCGTCCTTCCTCGTCGTCGTCGGAGAAGTCGGAGGCAGTTGCTGTATGTATGTACATTCCCGATTCGGCGGGGATTCCTGTCTTCGTTGAAATGCAGCGTGCTTTGCCCTTGCCACTGCCACTAACTCACTGACTACTCCATGCCGTGGATCGATCGAAAAACGAGCAGAGCAGAGAAGAAAAAAAAAGAAAAAAAAAAAGTGGGATGCTTGGGTGTGGATGGTGGTTGGGTGAGGATCGTTGCGAGCGTTGGAGCGTTTATGTGCGCACCGACCGAAACAATGTTTTGCATGCGTAGTCGGCCGTTACACTGGTTAGACTAACTGGGTAATTGACTAGCTGAGGGACTAAACGAGTAACTAAACGAGCGACTGAGTAATTGAGTAATTGAGTAATTGAGTAATTGAGTAATTGAGTAATTGAGTAATTGAGTAATTGAGTAAAGTAATTGAGTAATTGAGTAATTGAGTAGTGGATGGATTGGGTAATTGAGCGATTGACTGACTGGAGTCAGTTGTGCGTGCACTTGCATGTGCGACGGAAAGGGAGGACGACGCGTACGTAGAGTGGAGTGGAGTGGAGTAGAATAGATGCTGAGACTGACATCTGTGATCTCGTGTTTTACTGTTGCCGTTCTCTTTTTTTATCGTAGTTGTTTATTTCATGTTTCCCGCAGCACAGGACGTAGTTGATGGTAGGAGGTGGGTGAAGGGCACTTGAGCACGGCGGATCACTCACGCTCGTCCGCGCCGAGCATGGGGGGTTCCAGTCGCCAGACGGGCATTCAGTACCCACAAACGTCCATGTCCGTACGGGGCCGGACGCAACCCCTACCTACCTCGCACTCCCTCGCACCCTCACTCCGTTGCGACGCGCAATCCGTACTATATCCGACTATGTATCCCGCGGCTGGTGGTCCCGACGTGATGTGCGCGAGACGTCGACGTCGACGTTTGCATGGGCCCCCCCGCCCCGTCCGCCTCCCCGGGGACCCGGGAAGACCAGTACGCCCTGGTGGGGGACGTCTCTCCATCCGTCCGCCCTCCTCCTCGGACGTGCGTGTGTGCGTTGCGTGCGTGCGTAATACTAGTATATATTGGTGCTATGTATGGAGCATAAGTCAGCAGCGGCAGTAGCAAGCAGCATGCTGTTGGAACTTGGGAGAAACACTCCATTCCACTCCATTCCACTCCCCTCCACTCCCCTCCACTCCCCTCCACTCCCCTCCACTCCCCTCCACTCCCCTCCACTCCACAGGGCCGCCACATGGCAGTGGGGGGTGGCCGTCGGCTTGGAATGCTCAGGTACATACGACCAAGCCTACTTACATACCTCTGCGTCTGCAGAACGAATCCATAGATGTGCAGCGGAGAACACCACCAGCGCCGTCTTTTCCGCCTTGTTGCTGTTGCTGTTGCTGCTGTTGCTGCTGCTGTTGCTGCTGCGTGGATGCCGCGCGACTACTACTAACTACTAGTATACATACAAAGCAGTAGAGGGTGTAGAGTAGAATATGCTATGTTCGGGTTGCATGGCCTGTGCATGGATGGATGGCCTCTGCAGTACAGTACAGCGCCGCGCAGCGTGCGTGCGTGCATACATCCCAGGTATGTACTCTACCCAGGTAGGTACACATCCCACCACCATCCACCATCCACCATCCACAGTCCGCCCAAACGGTGCTGGGATTCATAGTTACATGCAGACATACATCCATACATACGCTGGCCCCTGGGTACGCCGTACATAGGCTGGGCGACGCATCGATCTCGGAATAGCAACTTCACGGGGGGACCCGGGGGCGAGGAGGCAGAAATCACAATGCAAAGTCGATCCTCAATTCAATTCAATCCAATTCAATGCAATCCAGCTGTCTGAATACATAGATATCACATCACATCTTCCTCTCGCACGCTCGCTCGGCCATCGATCTTCTGCCTCTCTGCATTCAAACATTCAAACATCCCCCGGGGGCTGCAATGCATTGCACTGCTGGCATCCTCGAGGAAGGGAGGAACTGAACTGAACTGAACTGAACTGAACTGAACTGATCGAGCGACAGCGACATTAGTTGTGCTGGTGGTGTGAATGGTTGGATGGGATGGGATGGGTGGTGACTGGGTGACTGGGTGACCGGGCGAGAAAGAGAGACTACATACGGCACCCACCGGCGCGATGCAGGGCCTCCGTACATACACACATACACACATACACACATACACACATACACACATACACACATACACACATACACACATACACACATACACACATACACACATACACACATACACACATACACACACCTCTATACATACACACACACATACACACACATAACTACACCCAAGCCAGGAAACAAAAAGACCGAAGCAACGGATCGAGTAGAGTAGGTTGTGTTGGTTGGTTGGTTGGTTGGTTGTGATATGTGACAGCTACAGGCTACAGCCCCCTGTAGAGTATCTAGGTGGATGACACATGGAGCTTCGAGCTTGGTGGATGTGGATCCTACCCCGGGGTCCGGAGGTAATGCCCGCCGTGGGATTAGGCCGGCTCGGGCAGTCAATTCGGTCGGTCTGTCGGTTCGGTTATGTATGGAGTTCTTTTTTTTCTTTCGTTGCTGGTCCTTGGTGCTCGTCGAGGGTATGTAAAGAGAGACACGGACGTCGGACGTCGGACGACCATAGCGACATCATACGATTGACGGCGATTGACAGCGATTGACGGCGATAATCAACGCGGGAGAGGATCCTGCCACTATGTTACTAGCAGGTACCTGGTCGACCAGGTGTGCACGTCCCCCTCCACCCCGGAGGCCGCCGGGGGGGCCACGGCTGATCTCCCCTCCGCTACCAGTATCACAGAGTAACTAGAGTACTACTTGTGGTAGTTGAACGACCGGCAACCACAACCACACGAAAGTGAAACACCGGCGACGATTACATACCCTTCCTTCCCTCGCGACTACATACATATGATATACATACATCTCGCGTGTGACTATTCGAGAGTCTCGGAAAAACGAAGAAGCAAAGAAACCCCGCGAGGCGTCGTGCCCGTCCCCGACTCCCCGTCCCTGGAGTATACATAGTACCTACTAGTTAGTACCTGCTCCAGTTCCAGCCGGGGATGAACATTCCCCCGTGCAGCGGCGCAGCCGTGCAGAGGCACGAAAAGAAAAGCAAAAGAAAAAAACGACATCGCCGGCCCAGCTCAGCTCAGCCCTGCCCTGCCCTCAGGCCCTGCGCCGTGATTCCCAACCGTCCGGGTACATACAACATACAACATACCTACCAAAAGATCGAGGAGCACGCGCAGGAAACCCCCGTCTGGTCTGCCGGAGCACAAAAACGATTCCTTCCAGGGCCACGCGCTGTCTCGCCGTCCTCCAGGTTGGTTCCCTCCTACTCGACTTACCTGCACGGCCAAAAGGAAAAGGAAAGGGAAAGGGAGAGGGGAAAGAAAGAAAGAAAAAGTGACCTGCGCGATTAAATCTTGGAGGAGCTCGTTCGAGCTCGAGCTCGAACTGCCACTGGACAGTTCGATGTGCTGTGTAGAGTAGTGCAGTTGCCAGTGCAGTGCAACCACAAGATCAGTCCGGGGAAAGAAGAAGAAGAAGCAGAAGCGCAAAAAACAAAGCAGCAGCAGAAGAAGCAGAATAGTTAAGGGGAAAAAAGCACTTCCATTCCCTTCCATCCCTCCCTCAGCAACGCCTCCCGTAGTTACTCCGTATCCCGTATCCCGTAATCGATCTGTCTCAGAATCCCTCTGGGGGTGGTCAGCATTATAGTAGCGGCGCACCCGGAACTTGGCTCCGGGACCCTTTGCGGGGGGTGGGCAGGGCAGGGCGGAAACGACAAGACAGGGCAGGACAGGGCCCAACAGGACAAGACAGGACAGGGCAGCACCAGGCTTCCACTCGGCAGGGCGAGACGTTTGACGCCAGCCAATGATGCCGGAGGGAGCGGATCAACTACATGTGTAGATATGTGCATACATACTCTACATACCATACGCATGAGGGCGTTGCGACAGCTTGTGGTCCGAGCGCGATCGGGCTCGGTATGATACGATGGCCCGTCTGAGAGCCCTCGACAGCAATCGTGTCTCACACCCAGAGTAGTTGTTTGGTTGCCTAGTTGCCTCGTTATCGGGGATGTTCGTTTAGTGTCGGGACGCTTTTCGAGACTCCCGGGGCTCTCGGGAATCCGTGAGGACGTACGGGGGGAGCTGGTTATGCCGAACCGCACTACCCACATACTACTCAACTAGTAGTCAAGTAAGAAGTAGGCAAATATGTGACATATCGCAAAACCCACGACCGCGAACTGCGAGATCGAACGCTCGTCGCGGCGCCGCGCACATGAATGGAAGGTAGTCAGAGGGAGGGGCAAAAGGCAAAAGGGCAAAAGCAAAAGCAAGTACCCATGCCAACGACCCCCCCAAAAAAACCTCCATGCGGATACTTACCTTACCTGTCTACATATCATACCTGGGTATGAGAGTTGACATGACAAAAATCCGATCCCCCAACCCCAACCCCAGCCTCAAAAACAGGCAACAAAAACAAAACAAGGCGTCCAAGCACGCACCCCCGACACGACGACACCAAGCGAGGATGGATCACGCATCCGATTGGCTCGTTTGAAGTTTCGCTTCCCGGGATGTGGATGTGATGTGTGATGTACATACAGCGGGATGTGATGTACGGTGGGATGTATGATATGTATGGGTGGGTGAGGTGTTGGATGTGATGTGGATGTGATGTACGGTGTGCGTGCTGAGTGCGTGTCGGTGTGCGTGCTTGCTGGGGGAGGAGTGCGCGCGTGCGTGCGTGCTGAGTACTGTGCGGTGTGCTGGGTGCTGAACGCTGTGTGTAAAAGTACATTTCTTTCGGGTTGGTGGATGGAGGATGGAGGATATATCTTCCGCAGGGGCGCACGCACGCACGCACCTACTATATTACTCCCAACTGTTGCGATATCGATCCTGATGGGGAGCGGTCCTGGTGAAACTGCAATCGTAATCGCAATATGTGTGGGCAGGGTGGACGGGGTGGACGAGGGAATGTAAATTCGATGGTATGGATGGTATGATAGTACGGTGGTCCGAATACCGGGCCGTATGTACGATACGATATGGTACGAAGTCCGTTCGTGTCGGCAACAGTTCCGAGTCCAAGCCCGAGTCCGAGCCCAAGTCCAAGCCCGGGTCCAAGCCCGGGTGCTAGGTAGTCCAAGCCCGAAGCATGCGGAACCTCGAAGCCACTAGTAGCTAAGTCTCGCCCCGTCCCGTCCAGTCGGCCCGCACCCCGCCTGTTCGTCTTCTTTCATTCCCGACGATCATCTCGGCCCACCAGTTCTCGGCCTCCACCACCACCAGCACCACCCCCGCCGCCGCCGATCTCCCCCCCTCCGAGCAACCACAAGCAACAACCCACCGATCTCTAGGATCTCAACGATCCCCGCCTTCTCCCACCTACTCGTCTGCTCCTGTCATCGATCCGATGCTCCGACACCGCGATGCTCCAATGCTCCGATGCTCCATAGCTTTGCCAGCCGTGCTCCGTGCTGATTGGCCGCAGTGTCGATATATTGTTGATACCGATACTGTGACTGTGATATCCGCCGGGATCCTCCCCCATGAGCCTACCAACAAGCCAACCGACTCGACGCGGATCCTACATTATGTATCGAACTATGTGTGAGGAAAGTTCAGCAGCTCAGATACAGCAGCACATCCCCGTATACCATCCCCGTACACCATCCCCGATACCATCCCCGTATACCGCATACCATCCCCGTATATAGGCCTTCCCCACCACCATGGGCCATGCAAGTAAGCAAGCAAGCAGGCTCTCGCGTCTGCTTCTCTGTCCTGTCAGTTGTTAACTATGCACCTAGATAGTTGGACCGGGCACGCTCGGAGACATACGCAGACATAGACATACGCAGACACAGACACGCTCGGAGACACACACAGAAACTGACAGATACAGATGCATACAGACCCATACAGACACGGATACACAGACCCAACAGCCAACACACCCACCCACACCCCAGGAATCGTATCCAGAAACACATGCTTTGTGTATGTACGGTATGATATGTAGTCGACACGGTGAACACGGTGAACACGGTGAACACGGTGAACACGGTGATTACATTGGCGACCTGAATACCTAACACCTCGAGCACGCCGTGCAGGCAGCCAGCATCCAGCAGCAGAGCCTACCCAAGCAAGCAAGAAAAGAAAGGCCCGAGAACTTGCAGCATTGCAGTATTGCAGCAGCAGCATTGCAGCAGTACATAGCAGGAGCAGCAATGCAGCCGTGCAGCCATGCAGCCGGAACTACAACGCGCCTGCATTTGGATCAAAAAGGTCTTCACAACACAAGACAAGACAAGACAAGACAAGACAGAACGAGCTCTTCTTTCTCAGCGTCTCATTAGCTATGTAGGTAAGGTAGGTAGCGACAGAACCATTACAACAACAGCAACAACAACAATAACAACAACAACTGCTGCTGCTCACTGGCACACACACACACACACACACACACACCTGCCCTCTCTCACCCCCCAGCTGTCGTCCATCACTTGAAAGCAAGATATGCGCCCCCTACACCCAGTCCCCGAAAAGAAAGAGAAGGAAAGAAGGGAAAAAAAACGACTTTTCGCGAGCAAAAACAAGAAAACAAGGAAAAAAAAGCACACATTTTAAGGAGACCCAAAGCAAGAAGGAAAAAAGAAAAGAAAAAAAGGAAAGAAAAAGGCCCCGATATAATAAGTTTCTCTGGAGTGGCGGTTTGGAAAATTAAGCACAAGAAATTCGATGTATGGAGGTACATCTCGATTAGGCATTATGCCACCCCGTAGAGGCGTTGTTGTTGGTCGGTGGTGGTGGCGATCGAAGATGGTCGGATTGTACCCGGCCGGCTCTGCCGCTTCGAACGTGACACCCCACCAACAACGGCGCAAAAAAAAAACAAAGTCAAAAGTCAAAAGCAGACAATGGTGAACCCCGTATGGAAATAGATGCGGAACAAATTCGGTATAGTTGAAAGGCAGGAAAAAAAAGCCGTCTACGCCCATTGGGCGGCGAACGGCTGGCTCGAGTGTTGATTCTGGCTGGGCATGTTCTGGAAATGGTGGTACTCCTGCTGAGGGGCATGCTGCTGCGGAACGTGCGCCGGAACCTGGTGGTGCAATGGCGGCGATCCACCGACGACCACCACGGTTTGCGCCGAAGGTTGAATCTGCTGCTGCTGTTGCTGCTGTTGCGGCGGCGGCGAATTGTGGTAGTCGAGGGGAGTGTCGGCGTGTGGAACGACTCGCGGAGGGGTGCGCCTCAATGGAGAGCGTCTGGGAGGAGACGTCCGCCTGATGCTCTGGGGGCTTCTGCGAGCCATGCAGCTGGGGCATCCCCTGACGAAGCGCGCAATCAATTCCTTGGGAACCCTGAACAACTCGATTAGGCTCAATCTCAACGGGAAAAAAAGAGGTCGCAACTATGGGGGGAGAAAGCTTACCACGAGTAGAACTGACGGACCTGAGAGGACGTCTTGTCCCGTCCCCCGTGTTGGCATTGGATGTGCGCCGTAGTTAGGATCCCAAACAATTGCTCACGGATGGCAACCGGCTTGTTCTCGTGCATGACAACCTGGCTGGTGCGACCATTCTCGTCCTCCTGAAAGTCCAAGACGAACATCTTCTTGGCCCAGAACCGGAACTGCGCCGACTCGATAGTCGTGCACTTGGGGTCCCGCAGAACGGCGCTGATGTTGTTGTAGCGGACCTGTCCGATCAGAGCCTTGTCGCGTTTCTTCTCCGAGAGCGACATGACGTAGTCATTGAGCAACACGTCGAATTCGCGGAGGGTGGGAAGCTGGGAGTCGTGGGTCAGCGCCGCTGGAACGGCACCGCTGTACAGGTTCATGTGGTAGAGGGGCGAGTATGTGGACGGATGCGGCTGCATCTGCACGTCCATGCCGATCATCGGAGCCGGTAGCTGCGGCTTCCATTGCTCGAAGGCGGTCTGATTGTTGTGGACGGGCATCTGCTGGGTGGGTAGGCTCTGCGAGAACACCCGGAAGTCGGTATTTCCACCGTAGCCCAGGTGGCCGCCAGCGATGCTGGGGCCGTTGTTCATGCCATTGGCCGTGGAGGGTCTCGCGGCGTAGGGGTAGCCGGCTTCGAGGGAGTGTTGGGAGCGGCGTCTTCTGGTCGGGGATGCTTCGTGAACCTCGTCGTAGTCGTAAGTCTTGGTATTCATAATGCGGGTCTGGTTCATGGCGTCGTTATATGCGTTTATAGGTGCTGGGCGCTGTAGCGAGAGTTTGGAGGCGTCGAGGAAGAGGTATATATGCGACGGGGGAGGAGCAAGATGGATGGGTATAATGGTGGGGGTATGCGGTGCTTGCGAGGAGAGCTGTAGGCAAAAGGGAGGCGAAGAGGTGAGGGGATTGGCCTGCAATGCGATCGTCGGAGCTGTTTTGATGTTGAGGAGGAGGACGAGGAGGAAGACGAGGAGGACGGTGAGGATGAGGAGGTCGAGGTCGAGGTCGAGGTCGAGGAGGAGGAGGATGCGCGGTGATTTAACGAGGGGCAGCTCAAACAGCGAAGGGTTTCCGTTCTCTGAACAGGTTCTGCGTGTGATGAAGTTGGAGCTGAAAGGAAGAAGAAGGGGCAGGAGATGATAGACATGAAGCTGTATTAAATAACAGCGGGATCGAAGAGGCAGATTCAGGTTGAGAAAGCCCCACGCACCCACCGATCCTAACCTTGATGATTGCTAAAGGGATGGACGAAAAAAGCAATTTAGTTATTGCATTGCGCTGCGTTGCCGTCTTTTTTTTTTTCCTTTCCTTCCTTCTTTCTTTCTTTCTTTCTTTCTTTTTTTTTCTCCCACTTTCTGAGAAGCTACCAGCTATCCGCTTAGCTCGATTTCGTTATCAGTAGAGTACTGTCCCGGTTGGACGGGATCAAGAAAAAGCAAATATAAATCAACCTGTCAGGCTGGGGGGGGGTTTGGTACACAGTGGCTGTTGTGACACGATAGCTTTCCTGCGAATACCGTAATTACCATACATACAGCTCTTAGTGGATGATGGAGGTGAGCTTGCGCGGGAATTTCCACTAGTAGAGTACGGTATGTAGGCTGCCTGTGTTTCCATATCCCAGGTGGAAGGAAGTGCCCTGTTCAGCCAAACAAGCAGCAGGGTAGACGAAGAGAGTGGGATATCGGGAGCCAGTAGGTGGAGCTAGAGCAGGTAGCTAGCTAGCTAGGGAGGTGGGCCATAGCTCGAGGTGGGAGGCAAATGGGGTGGGGGGTTGCTATCATGTTGGGGTAGTGCAAGTGCATCGCGAGGTGCCTGTAGGAATCCTCCGAGGAGTATGTATGTAGCAGTATCGGCGTCGTATTGGAGTCGAGCAGTTAGAGAGCAGTGCGATAATGGTTGCAACGAGCGCAGTAGCGGCGGCAGGCGGCAATTGCAAAGCATAGCCGGGTGGGGAGGGCGGGCAAGAAAGGAGAGCCAGGTTTGTATGTGTGTAGGTAATGGCGACAGACATCAGACATGTTTGTTGGAATTCCGTCTGATCTAGGAGGATCAGTAGCAGAGGCAGAAGCAGACGTCTGCAGGTCGCGCACTCATGCGGGAAGAATGGAATTGTGTGGAGAGAGAGAAAGAGAAAGAGGGAGGGTGCCGGGGGAGGGCCAACGGGGAGGGCCGTAGCAGGTCTTCGGAAACATTGAAGCGTTTGTTTTACTCCGATATGAAGATGGAATGATTCCTGTTCGTTTTTGCGTGGTGAGTCCCTCCCTCCCTTCCGTATCGGTTGTCTGGCACATACATACTTTGGCAGTTGGAGGCGATGGCCTGCCAGTGAACCCGGAATCAATGGCCTGCCAGTGGATCCGGAGGCAATATCACGACGTCGAAAGTTCTCGGCTCCGATTGAGCTTGGCAGCTTCTTGGCTCCAACATCAAACACGTTGAAGTCGATCGCACCGCCTATAGATGGCAATGTTCCTGAGCATCATCTTCTTGGATGAGGCATTTCACATATACCGCATTTGCAATACCGATCAAAATACATACTTGGGCAACTATAGATACACCTTGTACCTACATAGCAGGTGGTACGTGTGTACCCAGATTGCATATAGCCCCGCGATGAGGAACTTCACCCCCACCACCGAAGAATGTACAGAAGTATGTACCTACATACTCCCGATGGCATTCAAACTTCAACGTGAAGTTTGAACTCGTTTCTGTTTGTTTTCTCTCACTGGAGCTTCGAGCTTGATAGCTTTGATCGACCTCCCAACCTTAGTGTCGGTCTCATCATCTATTTCGGACAGTGTCAGACTTGGAGCCTACCTACCCACCTAGCTCCACCGTGCTGTGGCCGCTGGTTTCCCCTCGACCGACGACGGCTCGCGGCCTGTCAAAGAGTTGCCAGAATTGGTCGCTTGGACTTGAGCTTGATGCCCTTCTATTTTTATCCGATTTGGTGAATCGGTATCCCACCCCCCATCATCCATGGCCGAACCGCCGTTACCATATCCTGAACAGAACCCACCCCATATGCAGAGCATCCATGGATGTTTGAATATGCTGTGTGCGTGTGCGTGTGCAGTGCGCCAGACACGGCCGGTCTCCGATAATCCTCCTTGCAGATAATGCAGACTGGCGATAGTTATCGATTTATGTCTCCCAACTCCGCTGCTGCTGGACATCCATCAAACCTGATGCGTACAGACATGCGCCGTGTGCCTCTACAGTACCAGTGCAGGGATATCCAGAGAGAGCATTAGCGAGGGGGGGAGAAACTGGACGCCGGACGCTCGACAGCGGTGGGTGAGTGTGAGTGTGTATGTGGTGATACTCTAGGGTATATGTGTGTGTGTGGGTGTGGTGATATGTACTGTGGATTGAGGCGAAACTCCTCGAGCGGAATCTCCGATGTGAGGGTTATGTTAGGGAGTTCGGTGGTGGGGAGCCACTCCTGAGTTTGATCCGCATTGGACACCACTTTGGACAGCGTGGAAACTTGAAAGGGTACAAAGTAGGCAGATACATGCACCTACCTACTTGGCTACATGGTATATGTAGGCATGGATGGATGAGCTGCCGCTTGGAGCCGATGGCCAATGAGCTATCCGACATGCACGGCGCCGCGATGGGGACTGATCAATGCGCTGGATGGGGGGTTTACCGACCTTGCTCGCTGCACCTGAATTGCGCCGCCACTTTCGCTCTGCAAGCATCCAAGTAAGTCCTTATGTACTCCAAGTACCCAGGTACCAAAGTACCCGAGTACACACTTACCTAAGCACTTGTGTGACTTGTGTAGTGTATGGTTAGTACATGCCATTCAGTCCTGTGATACGTGGTTGCGTGGTACGGACGCTAACCTCCCTCGCTCTTGGCCATTCAGCTCAGCTCGGTCCAGCTCAGCTCGGTCCAGCTCAGCTCGGCTCAACTCCACTCGGCTCAACTCAGCTCAGCTCGTCAATTCGGTGCTGGACACATGGCGCTCCTCCGTCCGGCTATCTGCTTGTTCGCTCGGTTCTCAGCTTCGGCTTCATTCCCAGCAAGTAAGTGCCAAGTAGCAGCCGCTACGATCGTTGGCATACCGTACACACCCACGGCACCGAAAGGAGGATGGTTGAGTCGGAACTGCCCCACGTAGTCGAGCTGAGCTGTAGTTAGCAGTTAGCATTTAGCACTTAGCACTTAGCACTTAGCACTTAGCACTTAGCGGCCAAGTTCTATTCGAGAGGCAACCGGTTTTTTCTTTCTTTTCTGGTGTTGGCAGGTGAGTATTTAGGACCTGCTGCAATAGCGGCCCGTCCGGCCACCTCCCTCCGTGGCTCGACAAGGTGTGTCCATCGCACGTTTCGGATGGTCGTAGGGCGAGGCGGCAGTCGTGCTTACCGATCCGTGCTTGGCTTAACTGTGTCCGCTACCACCGAAAGATGGTGGTGGTGGGAAAGCCTTTCCCAGGCGTCGACACATCCCACGTTCGCCGTTGTCGTCTTCGTTGTTGTTGTTGTTGTTGACCGTACTGCTCCGGCGACAGCGCACACTGCATTGATTTCGGGCAACAGTTCCACGCCACGATGGTGTGGGATTTTATTCCTGGCTGCATGGCCAACCGAACGCCGATCATTAGTGCTCAAATTCAATTTCCGGGAAGCCTATGGCAATCCGCCATAACTAAAGCCCGAATCCGATGGCAGTTAACTTGCTGCCTGCCGGACACGCTCTAAAAACCACCAGGACTGCAGAGTGGTTGCGAATCGGACCGAGTTGCATATGGCACCTGCCGGGCTTCCGAGAAGAGTCTTCCGGTGTCTCATTGTCCTTTTGTGTACGGGCGTTTTTTTTTTCTTTCTTTTTTTTCGTTTTGTTTTTTCGTTGTTTTTTTTGTTTTCTCGACTTATGCCGTTGAGAAATCCCGCGCATGCGAAGGCAATTATCGCTCTCTCTCTCTTCTCTCTCTCCCTCTCTCACCTGAGAGTATGATACTCGACGGCAGCCACCTCCGCTGAACGGACAACCGTGATCTGTTTTTGCTCGGCAGCGACAACGACAGAAACAAAAAACAGCCGTTTCGTCGCGTTCGGTCCGCTCTCTTCTGTCCCATCCATCCAGTGGCGCTCGCGTTCGCAGGTACTTTTGGACCTATGGATGAATAAACCGCCATAACGGCCCGGATGCAAACGCTTGGCGCTCGCGATGTGACCGGAGATCCTCGAGCTGTTTGTTTTTTTTCTTTCGCGTATCGTGTGCGCTAAAGAGAGTTGTCCGGCCGGTTCTGAACGAACTGGGGGAGGAATGAGGGGCACAGTAGAGCTTTTTTTTCGACGTGAGCGAGGCCGAGAGAGTCTGGGGGATTCATTGTTTTTGCGAACCTAATCGTGGAGTT